TAGGCATTTGAGAAATGGACGAAAATATGCAAGCTATGCAGGGAGGCGGTGGGATGCTTGAGCGTGCTTTTACACAACTTGGATCATAAAACCCCTTCTGACATTTTTTTCTGCTGTAGTGATTTAGGTTACTTTCAAAAGAGGCAAATTCTTGTGCTTGTGGGTGCGTTTGTGCAGCCGAGCAAAACTTCACACTAGCCACCTGTTTGAGTTTCTACAAGACTAAAGATAATAAAAAGCAAACATAAATGGGTGTTAAATCTTAACTGCACTTGCTTGACCCTCCCCTTCAGTAAAGCAGAAACATTTAAGAGGGACATTGCTCGTTATCTTGTTTCTTTTTACACGAGCCAGGCACATGCTGTTCGTCTGCTGGCTTCTGCTAGTTAGGCCTTACTCAAACCATGTCGCTATGGTGACGGGGCCTAAACTCTTCAGTGAGAAAGAGGCCGCTGCCAGTGTGTGAAGTGGGGCAGAAACAATTTCTTAAATGTGCAAGAACCAAGCTGGAACTTTAATCCTCTTAGCCAGGCCTCGGCTAACAAAGCTCATGCATGTGGACAGCAACTTGTTCGAATGCTACACCAGCTTACACCAGGCCGGAAGGGTTTGTGTTTGCTGCAGAACAAAGCATTAAGACGTCTCCTGTCCGGTGGAGATCTGCTGTATTTAACAGCTCCCAAAGCTGCACAGTGGGGCTGTGCAATTAATCAAGTCAGTATTTCAGTTTCAGCTCTAAAAGAAAACAAAAACAATGTAATTACGAAGTTATTATGATAAAAACGATTTTCTCATGTTCCTGTTTTGCAGGAAATTGTTTGTTTTCGTCATGTGTTTCCAGTGACATACACTTTCTCCTCTCATGAAGGCTAAACTAGTGATGTTTTAAAAAATCAGCCCACGCAAAGATGGCAGAACATCCAAAGCAGTAGCAGTGTGTTTTTGTGCATAAAAATGTTTTCTTCAAAATTATTTACGTAAAGAGCAGGGCCACTGAGAAACCATTTTTCACTTATTATTTTTGAAACCAATCAGTCGCTCTGAGTTTTTCATGCAGACTGAACATGAAACTAGTCTCCTACACCTATCTCCTGCATTAACTTCTGATAGAAAATAGACGGTAAAACTCTAGGATTCGAAAATCCTGACAGATCTACGTCGCACTGTCACTGAACATTCATGGACTCACCCATCTTGACTCATGACAGGGAAGGCTGTTTTTGGTTTAGCGTCCAGGAAACAGCAGATAATGTCTCGACTAGTAGAAGCTAACCATTAGCATTAGCAGCTCCTCCACACAGCAGAACTCCTTCAGATATAAAACATCAACGTTGTAGAGCAAATGGAGTCAATGATAGAGTAGTGTTGCTGTTAGCCAATCAAAGGCCATATGTCAAAATGTTATATCAGGAGAAAAGACTCCAGTTTTCCCCTCCAGCTGACTTCTACGTCCTGAAAAAAGCGTACCGAGGCTATTAGAGGCAAACCATATTTTTATGTATTTGTAACATTAACCATGAGAAAGGAAAGTCACCTTCTGTGGCCTTTTTAAAAAAAACTAACAGTTATCATAATGTATTATTTAGTTTTACATAAACCAATTTGTTTTATATGATAATTTTTAACAAAATGTTTATATTTTAAGTAACACATAAAAAGTGCAATTATGGTAATTTAAAATCTAAGAAATAAATCTAGGCTTCTTGTGTAAAATCCACTTTTAATTACCACACATCTTTCTTAAAAATGATAAATTCTATTAGAAAAGTATGAAACATAGCTTGTGTTGCTCATGTTCAGAAAGCAGCACACCAAAAAGCAAACACTACGGATGTAAGAAAATCGGTACTCTGAAATTTCACGTTATCTTTTGTTATTATAAAAAGTCCATATTTAAAAGCAGCGTGCATTTTTTTGTTGAAATTTTACATGGAAACATTTACTTTTTTGTTTGTATGATGCAATGCAAACCTCGACTGCTATGTAGCAACAGTTTTTAGTGACTTCGGAACAACGAGATCTCAATAGATAAATAAATAAATCTTAAAAATTGCAAATATCGTCTGGCCTTTAGTATTGCAAAATATCGTCTCGTTTGGATTGTGATAAAAGTCGTATCGCCAGCTTCTGCCCAATACACACCCCTAGTAAACTTTGCTTGTTTGTAGAATTATTTAATGAAAATTCTTTCTGTTAAGGGCCATTCAGTCCCTTTACCAGAGGAGCGTGAGTTTGGTCCGCATAGCCGGTAGTAAGTCGGACCTGTTCCCAGTGAGGGTTGGACTCCGCCAGGGCTGCCCTTTGTCACCGGTTCTGTTCATCACTTTTATGGACAGAATTTCTAGACGCAGCCGTGGTGTGGAGTGTGTCGAGTTTGGTGGCAGGAGAATCTCGTCTCTGCTTTTTGCAGATGATGTGGTCCTCCTAGCTTCATCCAGCTCTGACCTTCAGCTCTTGCTGGGTAGGTTCGCGGCCGAATGTGAAGCGGCTGGGATGAGGATCAGCACCTCCAAATCTGAGACCATGGTTCTCGACCGGAAAAGGGTGGCTTGCCACCTCCGGGTCGGGGGAGAGGTCCTACCTCAAGTGGAGGAGTTTAAGTATCTCGGGGTCTTGTTCACGAGTGAGGGTAGGAGGGATCGGGAGATCGACAGGCGGATTGGTTCGGCGTCTGCAGTGATGCGGACGCTGAGCCGATCTGTTGTGGGGAAGAGGGAGCTGAGCCAGAAAGCCAGGCTCTCGATTTACCGGTCGATCTACGTCCCAATCCTCACCTATGGTCATGAGCTTTGGGTAATGACCGAAAGAACGAGATCGCGGATACAAGCGGCCAAAATGAGTTTCCTCCGTAGGGTGGCCGGGCTCAGCCTTAGAGATAGGGTGAGGAGCTCGGACATTCGGGAGGGACTCGGAGTAGAACCGCTGCTCCTCCGGATCGAAAGGAGCCAGTTGAGGTGGTTTGGGCATCTGGTCAGGATGCCTCCTGGACGCCTCCCCGGGGAGGTGTTTCGGGCATGTCCTGCCGGCAGAAGGCCCCCGGGTCGACCCAGGACATGTTGGAGAGGTTACATCTCCAATCTGGTCCGGGAACGCCTTGGGGTCCTGCCGGAGGAGCTGGTGGACAAGGCCGGGGAGAGAACGGCCTGGAGCTCCCTAATTGGGATGCTGCCCCCGCGACCCGGACCCGGATAAGCGGAGGAAGACGAAGACGAAGACGAAGAAAATTCTTTCTCAGCTTTATTTAATATATCAAATGTATTGCTTATTGTTTGAGTGTTTGAACCCTCAAGAAAACCAATACATTTACATTAATCTAGATGAAGAAAGAAGAAACAATATTTTTTATAGTTCCTCTCAAGATAAAAACCATGAGGCACTTCACAAGAAAAAAATTTAAAATAATAGTAAAATAAAAAATACGTAGAAATCGCAAAATCTGAGAAAGTTTGATTAAAATATGTGAAGAAAAAGAGTAATCACCAGATCCCAAAAGGCAGAAATGGTACAGGTAGTAGAATGAAGAGAAGGTGGTCTGGAAGAATCAACAGGTCACCCAAATCCAGCCTGAACAGGTGAGTTTTCAGCTGCTTTTTAAAGGAGACCACTGAGTCCACTGATCTCAGGCCCAGGGGGAGAGGGTTCCAGAGTCTGGGGACCGCAGCAGCAAATGATCTGTCACCTTTGGTCTTTAGCCTGGTGCTGCACAACCAGTAGGCTTTGATCACTGGACCTCAGGGACCTGCTGGGGGTGTAGGGACTAAGAAGATCACCAATGTAAGATGGTGCTTGTCCATGTAAGGCCCTATAGACCAGAACCAGGATCTTGAAATGAACCCTGAAGTTGACTGGCAGCCAGTGAAGCTGGAGGAGAAGCGGGGTGATGTGGGTGTGTTAGGAGGACTTGGTCAGAAGCCGAGCACAGGCATTCTGAACCACCTGTAGACAGTTCAGGGAGGTTCTGCTCAGACCCGTGAAAAGAGAGTTACAGTAGTCTAAGTGTGAGGAGATGAAGGTGTGGATAACTGTCTCAAGTTCAGAGCGGGACAGAATGGGACTCAGCTCAGCAATGTTCCTGAGATGGAAGAAGGAAGAGCGAACAAGAGAACTGACATGAGAATCCAGGGTGAGAGCTGGGTCAAAGGTCACACCAAGATTCCTAACGGAGGGTTTGGTGTGAGAAGCAAGCTGACCAACAGCTGAAGGAGAGATGCTAGATCTAACCCTATTGACTTTATCCACAAAGAAAGAAAGGACGTTCTCACAGTCTCCATCAGACTGAATGAAGCTTTAGTGCTTCTAGAAGCGTCGTCAGAAATAATCGTGGTTTCAGTATTGACCAAAACAATTCAACCATACTAAGCATCCAGTGGCCCAATGCATAAGAACACATTTAGGTTGGCTGACAGTGTTTATGAAATACTTTATGAACTGTGTGTTACACCCGTCCTCCTGAATCCCATTCAGACGGTCATAACATTACGCCCTCTGGCTAATAACATCAGGGAAACATTGTTTTATGTGGCTGTCTGATTTGTGTAATTCATCTGCCACACAACTAAAGTCATTTTTCTAATTAAAACCCAAGCATATTAAGGAATCCAGATGGCCTCCCTCCCCACAATTGTATTTGGAGCCGAGTCATTGTTGGTACATCAGCTAAGAGCCATTATCTCCTGAGGGATTAGACTGCCACAGATCCAGCTAATCATGGTGGGATAACAAGCTATCTACTGTCCCAGTGGTTTCACAGAGCCAGATTCAGGGGCTTATTGTCTAAAATTAAACTGGCTAAATGTTTACATTCACAGTAGGACTCAAACACGTTTTATTTATGTTTGAACTTTTGTCCCTTGCTGGATTACCGAACAGCAATGCAAGGATTTCCCACCAGAGGATAGCACAAGTTTAACTCTCACTTTGAATATTTACACGTTATTTTATGCATGCCTTTGAGCAATCTGTCAGTCAATGTTTTTTGTTTGTTTGTTTCCATTTTTCAGGGGAACATCACGTCATCCACAGGGAGTGACCTCAGTGATCAAAGCACGTTCGTCAAACCCAGCACGAGCCATGTTTCCTCATCCGATACCGCCGCTGCTTCATGCATCAATGGACAAACGGCGTCTGTGGAATTTGAACATGTTATCCAGTCGATGGCACAGGTGCTACCAGCTGAAGTCAGGACAGTCGTGATGCTTGTTCGCTACTTGTGTATTCAAAGTCAGGAAATCAAATCTAATCCAAAGATGTTTGAGGTGGATTAATTATTACAGGGTTTAATGTTTTATTTTTATAATTAGTTCAATCAAATTGACACTTTTAACCATATTGGTTGACTCCTTTATTTGGGACTATTTTATTTAACAAAAATAGTTTTCTATTTTAAATGCAACGCTCTTAAAGCCGGAATCCAGAATTTTCCCTCTTTCAGGAATTATTTATGATTTTTTTTATCTGTAAAAGTTATAGTTTTACCCTGTTCTGTGATATAATGTAGGCAATATGTCTTTTTTTCTTCTAATCGAGAGGCATGCCTTCCAGTCGTAATCATAGAAGTAAAGTTAAGTCAAAGTCCCAGTAGTCATCACACTGGTGAAATCCATCTCCACATTTGACCCATCTCCTTGGGGAGCGGTGTGCTGCAGCTGTGGCCGCGCTCGGGAACTGTTTAGTGGTTTAACCTCCCAAAACAAACCCTTAAAGCTGAGTGTTGCTATGACCCGACCAGGATTTGAACCCCGATCTCCCAGTCCCTGGGTGGGCACTCTACCACTAGGTAGAGGAGCTTAAAAATGCAAGACATTTTTCACCTCTAGATGGCGCCCTCTGAGAAAAATCACCAGATTTCTGCTTTAATGCTGGGTGTGTCATGTTTTCATCCTGCAGACTAAAATTAGCCTATTACGTGCTTTATCTTTTATTATACAGAAGGTTGTTAACAGAATATCGCTTAGAAGGCTGGGAAACCCTGGAATGTGTCTACCCTAGCTGATGTGTAAACAGTTTAGTTATTGTTATATGTTTTGACCCATTTAATACGAATTATAACCGTCCTAATTGCCTTTACCGACTGAACCTTTCATATCGTTTTTATCTGTGTGAATATGTGCGACACAGGGCCGCTACGTGACACATGTGGAGCTGCAGAAGCCAGCGTCGGGAGGCCTTGGCTTTAGCGTGGTGGGACTGAAGAGCGAGAACCGTGGAGAACTCGGCATCTTTATTCAAGAAATTCAACCAGGAAGTGTTGCTTACTGGTATGCATGAAGGGAAACATGGAACCAGAAAAACTCAGACTGTAGTAATGATAAAACATTAGGTGTTAAGTCTGAACCAGTGGTGGAATTTTAGCACAAGAAAACTGAAGTTTTACTACCATTTTACGAAAAATCTCTTTTGAAATGACACAACATTTAGCTTTCTGGAAATGGGGTGCGTTTTCCTTTCTGCTCCAGCAGTGATGGGAAGCTCAAAGAGGCTGATCAGATCTTAGCCATAAACGGTCAGCCTCTGGATCAGACTGTGACCCACCAGCAAGCCATAGGCCTCCTGCAGAGCGCTTCAGAGAGGGTGCAGCTCACCGTGGCTAGAGGACCCATACCCCAGCTTACCAGTGCAGCGGCAGCGGTGTCCCGCACGCCTTCAGCTGCTAGCACACTGTCAGCCCACTCCAGCGCGGTATAAACACACTCCAACTGTTGTATGATTTACCAAACTTTTTTCCCACTCATATTCGAGCCATTTTATTGCTCCCAGTGGCAGCATGTGGAGACAATTGAGTTGGTGAATGACGGTACTGGGCTTGGCTTCGGTATTGTTGGAGGGAAAACCACCGGGGTTATCGTCAAGACGATCCTTCCAGGAGGCATAGCTGATCAGGTGACTGCACTGCTGTGGCTATATTTTATTTATTTCTGTGTATAAGTATGAATAATTACTATCTCACCTGTCTGTCGCTGTTAGCTTTAGAAAAAAAAACCCTACAGGTTTATGTCCTACAAGACTGATGAGCTAATGGTTAGTTTGAGTGTATTGCTGTTGCCTTAAAAAGTGTTGAGCCTTTGTTTAATCAATACGTCTGCAGTGGTCTCTAGTAGGAGCAAGTGCCTAGTGAGTTGTATTCTGGGGGAAAGAAGCTCTGATGCACCTGAATCAGGAAGTGCAAGTCAGCTGGAGGAGAATGTAGGTGTTTCTCAGTGTCAAGGTGCCTTGCTTATTAGGACACTGTCCTTCCTTGATCAAAGAAAATGGTTAAATGGAACAGACTTGCATCACATGACCACAACTTCCACGGCGGTCACGCAACTTCACGTGACACGGGAGATAACATTCTATTTTATACATATGTTTCAATATGAATATATAACGTGCCTCTTACTTTTTAAGTTATGTATATATTTGTTAAATATGCAAGCGAGTTACTACCTACTAGCCACCGAAGTTTCAACTACTAAGCAACTAACCAACCTTAGATAACTTCTTTGGATCTAAAAAAAAACATTTTTAATTAGTTAACTTACTCTTAAAATAGAAATTTGCCCCCGGGGTAGCTGTCGGCTTCTGATCCGCCGTCCTTTTGAAAATACTGTGGTGTATTCTGGGATATTTTTGACCAAGGCTAGGCTACAAGACACCTCCCGTGTTTCGTTGCTTAGCTAGCTAAGCGGCTAACAAACGGAGAGCGCACGCCTCAATAGAACATGAACATTGGAACACGCCTTGGCAGTTCCTGATGACGTATCTCCTAGGAAACCGGGGCGAGGCCAAGACATCAAGGCGAGGTTACTTTGCATTGAGAAACACCCTGTATCTTCAGATGACTGGATGTGGACTCTTATTTCCTGATATTTGGACACCTCACTTCTGATTGGATTACAGCAATGTGACTCTACCACTGACTCTGTTCTGCAACGTCGATGTTTTATCTCCACAAATAACACAAACCTGGAGGAGTTCTGCTGTGTGGTGGAGTCACACAGTGCTAACAGTTAGCTTCTACTAGCCAAGACATTGTTTGCTAATCCTGGATGCTAACCAACAACAGCCTTCCCCCTTATCAGTCAAGATGGGCGAGAATGTTAAGTGACAATGTGATGTAGATCTGTCAGGATTTTCAAATCCTAGAGTTTCACTGTCTATTTTCTATCAGAAGCTAATGCAGGAGTTAGGTGTAGGAGACTATTAGTAAGGCTGCACAATATATCGTTATCACGATAGCATGCACAATATGCATATCGCAAAGAACACATAAATATCGCAATGAATGGTCAGCTCAAATGTTTACTACACTTAATGCATTCTGTCAATCAAACGGAAGCATTATGTTTTTTTATCAAATCAAACAGGGCTCTTCACCCGTTTGGCCAACTGGGTGGGTTCGCATAGGTTAGACGCCTGCTCCCGAGGCGGACGGCACTTAATTTTGATTGTTAGCAAACACCTGAATTACCCTTGTTCTGCTCTTTCTGCTGATTCTGCTTTTCCCAGGATCCACTGATTGCCTTTTCTTGTTCATTTTCTTTTCCCCTTTCCTCACATCTTTTGCTTTTCTTATTTATATGATTTTTTTTGTCATTTTTTGATTATTTTTGTTCCTGAGTTAAGTTTTTATTTATCGCAAGTAATATCGTCATCGCAATCTTAATCACTGTCATCGCATATCGCAGGATTTCCTAATATCGTGCAGCGCTAATGTTCAGCCTTTTAAAAACTCAGAGTGACTGATTATGATCAGAAATAATTATTAAAAGATGTTTTTAAGTCCACCACACCTTTAAAATGGATCTAATCCTAAATATTTCCTAGTTATTAATAGAGCTGGGTGATGAGGACAAAAATCCCAAGTGTATAATAATTTATTTATATATCAATTACAGGTCAACCGGTATTGTTTTTTCTATTGCCGATACCAACATCCAACATCCATGACATGGTCAGCCAATGGCCGCTGAGCTGCTGATTTTTTTAGGCCGATTATCTTAACAGATATCTAGACGTGTTCCAATTTATTTGTATGCTAAAATGGTGGCACAGTTGTTAGCACTGTTGCCTTGCAGCAAGAAGGTTGCAGGTTTGAAAGTCGGCTGCAGCCTTTCTGTGTGGAGTTGTATGTTCTCCTCATGCATGCTGGGTTTCCTCCAGATACTCCGGTTTCCCCCCAGATCACAACATGCCCTGTAGGTTAAAAAATCGTACGTCGCATTGGTTAAAAGCATCTACCAAATAAATAAACATAAACATAAAATGTACCTAATAACATGATGCACACATTCTTTGAAGCTAAATGGGTTTTTGAATACTGAATTTAACTTACTGTTAACCGTTAATGTTATCCACGGCATCTAACTAAAGTGAGACAAATAAATTAATGAAGCAAGTATTAAATAATCAAATATGGTAAATAAAAATTATTTAGTTGAAAAAATGTTTGTTATTTTGTAAAACAAATGGTCTAAAAATATTTTTAAAGCATTTATTTTGCACCTGTTGTTCAGGAGCATAAAAATATATTTAAATTCAATTTCTTCAACAGTAACAGGTTGCCCCAGGGTGAGCCCGACTTTAAATCGTCTTTTCTAAAGAGGCATATTGGCTGATGCCTCTATGCACAAATGGTAAATACCAGTCTACCCCTTATAATAATACATTTTTCTATATTAGAATTATTTCAGTTATAATAAAATCATTTCATATTAGCACCTAATTTTTTAAGCTAGCATATGTTTCAGTATTAACTGCATGAAATTCCCAACATATTTACTTGTGCCTTATTCAATCAATCAATCAATCAACCAACCAATCAATCAATCAATCAATCATCAATCAATCAATCATCAATCAATCAAACTTTCTTTATATAGCACTAAATCATACAATTCATGCAACTTAAAGAGCTTAACAAATTAAAAGGCCCCGCATACCCACATTCCCTCCCATCCCCAGAATTTTAAAAACAGTCTGACAATAAAAACCCCTTCACAACACTCATCCTCTGTCACACACACACACACACACACACACACACACACACACACACACGTGCCCCCCCATGGAAAAAAAACACAATGGGCTGAGATCAGATGAGCTAAACCAGCTAAGATAAAGATAAGGAAACGCCATCAGGGGAGCCATCCGCCCTGACAGCAGCAGCAGCTGAGGCACCGACACAGGGCGCCCAGGGCAGGGAGAGCAGAGACCCCCACCTCCACCCAGGCACACCTGGAAAGCACCCAGGCCGCCACAGCCGACCACCGCCCCCGGGGCAGAGGGCTCCCACAGGGGAAACACTGGAAAATGTTAAATTAAGGTTAAAATATAAACTCATGAGAGCTAAAATGAGAATTGTAATCAAAAAATTTATTTAGAAATTAAAATAATATTGATCATAAATCTATGGTAAAAAAACTGTTTAAAAATAGCACGTGTAAAGAAAGAATACATGAAATAAATAAATAAATTGATAAATAACCTAATTTATTTATTTAAAAAGAGATAGTAATCAGTTAAAAGCTAAGCTAAAAACATGGGTCTTGAGCCTGTTTCTAAAAACATGAACGTTCACTGCAGCCCTGAGGTCCCCTCGCAGCTCGTTCCAGAGGTGAGGACCGTAGTACTGGTAGGACGTCTCGCCGTGAATTTGAGTCCTAACTTTAGGGATGACAAAGATGGCTACCAGAGGAGCACAGAGACCGCGTGGGTTCTTACGGTAAAAGCAGTTCTGAAAGATAAGAAGGCCCAAGACCATTAAGACACCTAAAAACCGTTAAAAGTATTTATTATTTGATAGGTAAAAATAACTTAAAAATAAGGCGAGGGAAGAGTTTGGTGAGACCATAAAGCAAGACTTCCATATGGCTTTGAGGACATTCTGGTTCACCATCCGACGCCTCAGGAGGGGAGATCTAACACTGTTTATAGTGGGGACGATCCCCAACATCCCTCCACTCGGGATGTTGGGGGATCGGTGGCCAGAGTTCTTCGAAGACCTCGTCAGACCCGACTCTGAAGCCCATGGATGGATTTGTTCAGTTAGAGCAGCGTTATCCAGTGTAATCCCAGATGGTAGAGAGAAGATGGCAAATATTTATCGCTTTCACATGGAAGCACCCTTCAAAATGACCCAAAAGATCTCTTAACATCCAGGTAAAGTCTAGTAAATGCTTAGAGTTGTCATATTAAGACTTATAGTTGGTTTTGTTCATCTCAGGACGGGCGCCTGAGAAGTGGGGATCACATCCTGAGAATTGGAGAGACCGATCTGTATGGGATGGGCAGCGAGCAGGTGGCCCAGGTCCTCAGGCAGTGTGGCAACAGGGTGAAGCTGGTGGTCACCAGGGGTCCTGTGGAGGAGCCTCCCTCTGCCGTCATGTCCGTGGTGCTCCCCACTGTCACTGAACAGCAGGTAAAAGCCGATCACTCATTATAAACCACACACACACAGCAGGAATGTAGTGCTGCTTTTTAAAACTACCAAAGTAAAACATTCACACACTTCAGACACGTTTCAATGCTTTCATCTTCATTTTTTCACTTTCCTTTTGCCTTTCTGTGCTCCGATAAGTGGAACTAAAGAGCTGAACGCTACGAATAACACTTTGGAGAACAGATGTCTGTTCTAAGAACAGCAGCAGTTAAACGGCCACTCTGCAGTCTAAACAAGCTAACGGCCGTACGTTGGTGCCCCTAATCCCCATGTGGTGATACATCCTACTACCACTACCCTCGACTTCCCTCTGGTTATTTATGGATTCTGATTTATTCTGGTTATTGTTGTTTTCACAGGGCAGCGAGGAAGACGAGGCTGAAACATTCGATGTGACTCTAACCAAGAATGCGCAGGGACTGGGGATCACTATTGCTGGTTATGTTGCAGATAAAAATTCAGGTGGGACATACAGGATTTAAAATGTACGTCACCCAGAGCATCTGTCCGAAACTTGCAGCTGGACCTTGTGAAGGTGGAGGCCCAAGCAGCAGGTGGAACTCGGGAGTTAAGCAGGCTCATGAAATTAAAGGGATTTTTGGCGATTTTGATCTTAAATAATTACTCCTTTACTAGTGTATAAAACTTTCTCATGTGTATTTTTTAAGGTTTTGATAATGCTAGAATTTTTAATTAAGGCTGTTGGGGCAAATCTGCAGAACAAGCTAGGTTTGGCACACAAACGTGGTCACGAAACACTCACCCCTCCCCTCGGGTGTCTTCATGGAGACGCTTCTGGCGGAACTGGAAACTCGTGACGCCGGAGCAAGTGAGATAGTGCTAAACACGTCGTAGTTTTCTTGGTCCAAGCATCTTTTGTTGTCCGAGACTTCAAATGGTGCTTTTCGTTTTTAGACTCTGGTAGTTTGTCCTAAAATTTAAGTGGTAGCAGCCGCCCATTTCTCCTTTGATGTTATTGAGCGGAAAACCTTTCACACCAGTGGTGTTCTGTTGCTAAATGCATGAGTGCGTAATGAATGGAGGATCCAGGGAAGTGCTGTGGCTTGCGGAGACCGACAACCGGATTGTCCAATAGTTGCTTTCAGTTTTGAGTCATGTTGTCGGTGCAGGTTTTAGACAAAATGAGCGAGAACCACTTAAAAAAATGTTGCCTTTTTTTTTTTTATTTCCACAATATATTCTAGCTATACCATGTTAAAATGTGGTTAACCCTAACCCTGCTAACCCTAACCCATGAAAAAATGCTTAAAGCCCATTTCTTTTCCCAAATGTGCTATTGCAGCTTTAAATACACACCAGAGCACTTACTCTCATGCAAAAGCGATTTTCCCAAAAGAGCAAAAACAGTTATGTTATAATATGTTTGAAATTTTTTTTACCTTCTCATTAATACGTTAAACAACTGATATTTTAATGAAAACAACCAAAAATAAAGAGAAGGACAAAAAATTTAAGCCATACTGTAAAAAAAAACTCTTTAGAAATTTATAAGTGGGAAATGGTCGTTCACTACCATAAATATCACCAGCTCATGTAAAATGTACAACTTTTGAACAGAAACCTTTCAACATGGCTATAAAATCTGTGAAAAGCCAAGACCACATCAAACATGATCCAAGAAAACTCGACAAAGTAACAGAATGACTAGGAAGTAGACAAAAGACAAAGATGACACGTAACTGAGGGAAAGTGAACAAACATCTCCCTTAACTCAAAACCAGCTTACATAAAGGAATTCTAATTCTGGAATGGTACAGCAACATATTGTCACCAGTGATGTCTTAATACCAGTTGTACGAATAACTAATCATGTCATAAACTCTGTCTGGAGTGTAGATGTGGAGTTCTGTGCCAGACTGTTCAGCCTTAACAGTCCTGCAGAGATGCTGCGGCTTCATCTGTCTACTGATTAACAGTTTTTAATGATGGTTTGATCCTCTTCATCAGCTGGGAAACAGTTGGCACCAAACCCACCTGAATGCGATCCGATGGAGCGAATGAGGCACAGCGACAGCTCTGCCAGATTTGTTCTCATAAAAATCACCAGGGGCATTTCTTCCTCTGGTAGGAATCTGAGCGCGCTGGTGAAAAGTCTTGATTAAATTATTATTGATTGCAATAAAACACACAAATGAGGTCTTATTTTTCCATGTGACTGCCAATGATTACATGGAATTCCCAACATTTATTATTATATTAATCTGAAGACATGGAAATAACTCAACTTGAGTGTTTTGGTAAACAGTTTTATAATTGTATTAATGATGCAACAGACTGCCTGGAGAAGCCATAGCCCAGCTTCTTACTTTGCACCACTCTGCAGGTTCCCTTTGCCTAGGGGTGGGGTCCCTCTTCACTCCCCAACATGGGCCTACTCATTACTGTCCATCTAGTTTAATTTGCCAGGTCCCTTTCATTTAGGCGCTTGTGGGACAACCCCTTCTTTAATTTACAAACCATCTGAGGTTTTTTCTCACTCACTCACTCACTCACTCACTCACTCACTCACTCACTCATTCACTCTCAAAACAAACACAAATATGTACAGGCTGGGAAATATGGAGCAATCACAACAAACATCTATTCTTAGCATTTTGTGAAGTATACTGTAGATTTCTATGAATTGTATGCAAATTGCTGTTATTCCTATCACCCCCTAGTCTTTTGATGTTTTTTATGCTGTTTACTTGTCTCTTGTCTCTCTGTCGTCCACTCTGTTGCCAAAGCTAAATGATGTCTGTTGTGCTATAAATTCAGTAAGATAAAGCAACACTAAAGAGTTTTAACACTGAGCTATTGCTTTTGAAGTGGTTTCAGTGATTCTTGAGGTAGAAAATTGAAAATTTATCAGTTTTACATTTAATAGCACTCTGCTGACCAGAAACCGCACTCAACACTTTTGTGTTTCACATGGGTGCACTAAGGAAAGCCCTCTACCTGCTTTACGGCTGTTAGCCATTTAATCTGCCGGTAGTAAACATAAAGGCTAGCAGTTAGCTTTTTCAGTTGGCACCAGGGCAAAGCCTGGAGGGAAAAGTGAGAGAGTAATGTCTTTGGAGGTGAAGTAAAGAGCTAAAACCAGAGTGAACAGCGACACGGTCTAAACTAGTCTACGTTAGTTTGATGGAGCTAAAGGAGGCTACAAAATCAAGGACTGGTGGTGACCTGGCTTTGTTGCTATTGGATTGTAAGTCATAATATTTTTTGTCCAATGGTGCGGATCTTTTTAATTTGTGGCTTATTTTAGTATTAGCTGACTCATGTTAGTGTTAGCTCATTGTTAACCCTAGCTGCAGCAGGGTTATTTACGACAGTTGTAATTCAAGTATCGACCAGTAGGGTGAAGGAGCAGTAAATGTATTTAGTGTGGCTTTAACTACACAACAGGAGGAGCATTTCTCCCTCTTCTTGTTGTGGAGTAAATCTGCTGCGATCTATTAAGGCACTCTATATGCAAACAAATGTTCAATGTGTGCCAAACACAAATAGACGGTCGTTTAAATGATTGTGGTGTTCTTCTAAACTTGAACAACTCTGATTAGTGTTTTCCCAGCCTCTAAGCAGAAGATCAAATGTGATGAGAAGTGCGAACACTTTAATTTTACGACTTGTTCCAACTCCCCCAGAGCCCTCGGGGATCTTTGTTAAAAGCGTAACAAGAGACAGCGCCGTAGATCAAGACGGCCGCATTCATGTTGGAGACCAGATCATCGCTGTGAGTACGCTAATTCTGCTCTCTGAAGCAACACTGTTTCCACAGTCTGAGGTGAGATATGCAGTGTGAGGCTTGGCTTGTGCGCTGTGTTACAGTTATCACATTTACACCCTCAGCGCAGGAAATTTACGAGACACACGCTCCTGAATAATTCAAAATTAACTGACAGAAACAGGTTATTGTGTGACTATGAATATAATAAAGTGTTTAATTAAAAAAACTGAGAAAATATGTTTTTAATTTTGTTACTCGATGACAGTTCTTTTTTGTTCCGACTCTTCTGGTCCGTGACTATGAGTGTGTGCTCAACAGCTGTAATTGTTGTCATTTATTACCTAATCTCAAAGGGCCCGAGTAACTAAAGGAATCTCAGATGTTTGGGGATACTCTATTATTTTTAAACTGTTGTTTTTTTTATGTCAAATGGGCATCTTGTGAAGGTTGATGGGGTAAACATTCAGGGATACACCAATCAGCAGGCGGTGGAGGTGCTCAGACACACCAGCCAGACGGTCCACCTTAAGCTGATCCGACGGGGCTTTAGGCCCGACGACACCGTACCCCCCGCTGTCTCCGTCTTGCCCCCTTCTGCCACCATCATCACCACTGCCACCGTGATGAAGGAGCTGGAGCTGGACAGGAAGAAAATGGAGGAGCCCATCCAAGGTAGGGAAGGCAGATTCTTAAATAACAATCTCCAGTCGGGTGTTACTTTATTTTTATTTTTATTATTAATCGTTAAAAACGTTTCCACTTTTAACAACGATCTACACCTGGATTCATTGTAAAACATATAGCATCAGTCTAAAAGGAACATATTCAATATTCCTTGGAATCCATGCACTGTGTTTTGTTTATTTATATATTTGTTTGTTTTTCTTTTCTTTTTATTTCTTTTTATTTATTTAACTTTTAATTAACCAGATAAGTCATTTGAGAACCCATTTGCATTTAAAACGACAATCTGGGACGATCTTATGCATCCAAACTGACTTCTTATATGGTGCTTTATTAAAACCTAAGAAAAAATAACCTATGTTTAAAAAATACTGACAAGTTTAAACAAAACTACAGTAAAATGGTTTAGTTCAGCTGAGCTTTCATTGTTATACATGGTACCTCAAATTAATAATGGTTTTGTTTTGGGGAATGAAATATAAAAAATGTACAGTTAAACTATTTTATTTATTATAATAATATATTAATATAATAATAAGGCCTTGATTAGCATATTTTAAAAATCTCAATTGACACATTCAACTGTAATGTCTTTAATAAACGCGTCACTCTTCTGCGGTTTTCATGGGGAATTAGCTGAAAGTGAGGCTAACGCTAGCTCACTTCCTCCCAGTGTTGAAGTCACCTTTTTTTGTTCTACATTTAAATATTAATGATGAAAGATTTGATTTAAACAGCACTTTTCACTCAAAGTGCTTTCCATTATTTATGCACTCACACATTCACACACTGCCGGTGATGATAAGCCACCATCCGGCCACAGCCGCTCTGGGGCGGCCTGACAGAGGTGAGGCTGCCATCTGCCCCACTGACCACCACCAACGCAGGCAAGTTAGGCAAAGTGGCTTCTTGCCCCAGAACACAACAGCAGAGTTCCCTGGCAGAAGCTGGGCTCCATCCCACAATCCTCTTGATACCTTGGCAACCCGTTCTACTTGCATACATCTGTGTGTGTGGTAGTTCTTGAAGCACCAACTCCAGCTGCAGTCCACTCTTTGTTACCCCCCCCCCCCCCCCCCCTCCCATTTATAAATGGGTTTTGTTTCACAATCCTCTCCAGGGTGTGTTTATCTCTATTGCTTGTACACTTTTTTTGTACCACATCCTGTCCATCCCTTCACCTCTCTGTTAATGTGCTTGGACACAGAGCTCTGTGAACAGCCAGCCTCTTTAGCAATGACCCGTTGTATCTTGTCTTCCTTGTGCAAGGTGTCAGTGGTCGTCTTTTGGACAATGGTCAAATCAGCAGTCTTCCCCATGATTGTGTATCCTACTGAACTAGACTGAGAGACCATTTAAAGGCTTTTGCAGGTGTTTGGAGTAACTTTGCTGATTTGAGTGTGGCACCAGGGTTTTTGTTAATATTGAACCCTTTTACAAAATTCTAATACTGTGAGATTCTGAATTATGGATTTTCATTAGTTTTCAGTTATAATCATCAAAATTAAAGAAATTTGAAATATATCCGTCTGTGTGTAATGAATGAGTATAATGTACAAGTTTCACTTTTTGGATGGAGTTTCTGAAATAAATTAACTTTGTCATGATATTCAAATTTCATGACCAGCACCTGTATATTGAAATAAAAACTAGTGAACTTGGTCTTTAAAGGGTTTACGTTTTTGTTTCCAGGTTAAGCCATTAATAAGTGTTTCCTTACACAGACTCGGCAAGATCTCATCACTCTGGGAAATGTGTCACAAAAAGTTTATTATTTTATCATAAATCAGATTCAGCATAAATATTGTGAACAGCAGCTTTGGCTATTTTGTTAAACGATGTCTAGTTTATGTACATGTCAACTGAACTAAAAATGACTTTAAAACTTACTTCCGACAGAAAAGAACCAACTATGTTTTTATTTTGATGTGAAGCTGGTTTTATTTACTGAAAAGAACCACACAAAAAGTCTATAAATGTGGATCTTGTTTGTTTTAATAGCTTCTCGTAATGTTCGAATAACGGCAGTAAACTGAAAGATTGTTGTCCCCAGTTGTAGAGACAACAACCTTCAGGCTTTTACACAAACAAAGTTTCTTAGTGTCAGCAGTGATAGATGGATTCATTAGATGAAGCAGCAAGACATTTCAGCTCAAAAATCTAAAGATAGACTCATATTTAACAGATGGCAGGAGCTTTATAAGCCGCTTTACTCCTTAGGTGCTTTTGATTATCTGAGAAAACCAAAATAAAGTTTAGTTTTATTTTTCTAGCAAAGAGGTTAACATTTTGTATTAGAAATTCAATGGATGACTGATGATAAATGGTTCTTATATTAGAGCATGTATATAGTAATCCCAGATGATCGTTTGGAAGTTCAGTGGTCACGTTATATTTAGAATAAAGTGAAAAAATAAATGAATAGTACCAGTAGAGTTTTTTTTTATTCTTTTTGGAGTTTTCAGTGTTAAAGCACATTCCAGAGCTTATGTCTGTGAAGGTTCTCAGTCATCCAGGTCATTGTAGTCTAATGAGCTTTGAAAGAAAAGCGTCTGTACTTCTTTGAGTTGCTTGAAGACGTTTCACCTCTCATCCGAGAGGCTTTTTCAGTTCTAAGGTCAAATGGTGGAGAGTCCCAGATTTAAACCCAGTGGGAGTTTCCCCCCGAAGAGGCTCAAACTGGTTCACCCGAAAGACAAAACTCCTAAACACAAACTGAACAATGTGGTGTGTGCTGTACAGTGCAGCGAGGAATGCCCAGACCTCTACATCGGAGAAACCAAACAGCCACTTAACAAGCGCATGTCACAATATAGAAGAGCCACCTCCACGGGACAGGACTCAGCAGTTCATTTACATCTAAAGGACAAAGGTCACTCTTTCAAGGATGCCAACGTTCGCATTTTGGACAGATGGTTTGAAAGAGGAGTAAAGGAAGCCATTTATGTTCACTGTGAGCAACCATCTTTGAACAGAGGCGGTGGTTTACGACACCAACTGTCTGCCATCTGTAATCCAGTTTTGAGATCCCTTCCCAGATGCCTCAACGCCCACGCATATCCTGGACCATCTGACCTCAGGAATTCACATGATAGGGTGGGGCCAGGCTTCACAATGAGCTCACCTGAAACTCTGGCTGAATAGGACCCACACCCACCCTCACACCTTGGCTCATGTGTTTATGTAGAAGATCATCAGGGGGTCTTTTGTTCCCTCTTCGGGGGGAAACTCCCACTGGGTTTAAATCTGGGACTCTCCACCATTTGACCTTAGAACTGAAGAAGCCTCTCGGATGAGAGGTGAAACGTCTTCAAGCAACTCAAAGAAGTCCAGACGCTTTTCTTTCAAAGCTCATTAGACCATTCCAGAGCTTGTTCAACTCCAGGTTATTCTCTTTACATTGGCCCAAATCTTTGGTTTTACATCCAAAACCTCTGTGCGTTGCATTTCCAGAGCAAAGGAGCTTTTTTCTCTGGACTACGAGGTAAGCTCAGAACATCCATCACCCAATCAAAATATTATGAAGTCCATATTTAAAATCCTCAAGAGTTCATTTCACTTTCTCTCACTTCAAGTTAGAAAGAAAACTCCACTTCTGCATGACTAAGAAGTCAAATTAGCAGTGGAAAAACATGAGCTGTTTTATTTATCGATGCACGATATATCGGCATCTATATCGGTATCGGCCGATGTTAGGGTTAGGGTTAATGTTTTCCATCTTGTTTTTGTTTGTGTATCTGTTTCAGAGGGTGAGGGGGGGTGATGATGTGTAATTGTTTAGCCATGACAGTGACACACACACACACACACACACACACACACACACACACACATATAATTTAGTTTGCACTCTATAGAAATTAAGCGAGACATAAAAAAATACAGCTTGTGTAATTTTCAGTCTATACAAAATATGCAGATTTAAGAAGCATAAATATCAGTGTGTATCGGTATCTGCAAATATTGGTTATCGGCCATAACAGCAATATTAACCCTTTGGAGTCAGTCCACGCGCCGGCTCATGAAGGCACGCCGGTCGCATTACTCCCGTTAGTATGCAACCAAGAAACCACTCAGGGTCATGATTACTGCTTGTTTTGACAAAGGGGGCTTAAAACTAAATAAAAGTTGTGGTTTAACATGTTAAGCCAAGTAAAAGTAAGACAGTTAAGGTAAACAATTCATGCCAAGATAAAGGTGCTTTGGCGCATTCGATCTGTGGCAGATGCAAAGCAAAATCCTGCCAACGCAGCTCTCTGTCGGCTCCGTCAGCTCTCGCTGCTTTTCACCATAAGCCAGGACTCGGGAGTCGGGAAGAAAAACAAGACCAAGCTAATCCTATTGGCTGAGATACGAACCAGATCACCCAATCACAAAATCACTTATAATTAGTTTGACCCTTTTCTGGGTCTGAGTTTGTATAGAGTGTGTTGTCTTCGTCTCGCGACTGCACGCCACACACTGTAGGACCAAAACTGTTACATCTTTGCATTATCTATCACCACTTGTGGGGTGTCATGTTTTGAAAATCATCCTACAACTTGTAAATCTTGCCATGTGAACTGGACTTAAGTGGTTGCTAAATTTTGTTTGTCTCTTTTTTCTGCTCACGTGTGTTTAAAGCCACCATAGTGGAGAAGCAGCTGCAGACAACAAATGAAGGATGTGTTGGCGACCCAGCCATGGATCAGCCAACAAAAGACACGCATGGTAGGGGGCCGGGATTGTTCTCTGTGTTCTCTGGCAAAGCTATCAGACACTAATTGTTTACTCGATCACACACACACTACTAACAACAGCACACACACACACCAACATGCTGTTAGTTTAACATGGAAAAATGATTAAAGCTAGTCTTGGTGGAAATGTTTTTGAAGTTTGGTTTTAAGAAGTGATTGGGTCATTTGAATATATTTTTAATAGTTTTAGGTGCTTTAATTTTATTATGTTGCGTCGTAAGATATGTTTGATGTTTTCAGGGTTGAAGTTAACTCCTTTTGAAGAAGAAGAACTAATGAAGAAGTGGCAGGAGATTCTTGGCCCAAGTAATGAAGTCATAGTAAGTTTGTTTTGTTACAAAGTCTTTGGATGTTCTTTTAAAGGAGATTTAGGATAATCAAGAAATAGTCAGATATGATTTTATATTTATTACGATGCACCAGCTACCCCTTTTTGTCAAAGCACCAAAACTTAAAAGTTTTTATTCAACTTCTTCAATAATGGAGATTGGTCATAACTTTTTTAGCAGAAACAGACCTCAGAAGATCTGAACTATCCTTTTTACACAGGGTTACCATGGTGATGTAGATGTGTGTTAACTCTTGTTTTCTCAATAGGTGGCTCAGGTGGAGAAGTTCACTGAGAACAGCGGCCTAGGCATCAGTCTCGAAGCCAACAGTGGTCACCATTACATCCGTTCCGTCCTTCCTGAGGGACCTGTTGGCCGATGCGGCAAGCTGTTCAGTGGTGACGAGCTGTTAGAGGTGAACATGTCTCGAACTCGTTTTCAACCTTTTAAACAAAAATATTTATGTGACTTTTAGGTATTTTAGATTTGTTATACTGGGCTGTTTCACACAAACGGGAACAGGTCTTCCATTAAAGTTAAAGTCGTCATCACACTCTGGTGAAATTCATCTCTGCATTTAACCCGTCCCCGTGGGGAGCAGTAAGCTGAAGTAGTGGCTGTGCTCGGGAACTTTTTGCCGGTTTAACCCCCCCAATCCAACCCTTTAAAGTCTTAGTTATGACCCGACCGGGCTTGAGCCCCACGCTCCCAGTCTCAGGGCAGACACTCATACCATTAGGCCACTCCAAACCATTAATTTAATGACCCATTTCCAGTTTAGTCTGGAAACAGACTAGACACCTGAACTGATGAATGCATGTGGCAGGACAAGCTCTCCATAGGTGCTTTTGTATCAACTACTTTTAGATTTTCACTCAGAAGAACCGAGCCTAGGGAGTTCCCAGAGGACTGTACACCAGAAGATGGTTTTCTCTAGTTTAACCTGCCCTGCAGGAAGTAACACTGAAGTGACACAAGAGCTGGCTGGAGGTCAGTTGAAAAGTCTGGATCATTTTTGCTTAGTCGGGTCACTTTTGTTAGACGTTCGTACATTAATGAAAAAAGTTTGACTTTGTTGTGTGTGAGCCAGTCACTGGCCTCAGTCAGACCTGGTACTAATGTGTGATCACAAGTCACTCACTGACTGTTCTAAGCCACAAACCCTTCAACTTGCAGCCATTTTTAACAACCTTATTATGCAAATAAGCTTGGAGTATAACAAATGTTGTAGATCACTCTAATTTCAACATCAGATTGCATTTTTGGTCCATGAATGCACAAACCCGTTTTCCCGGTCTTCAAGGTCATTTTTTAATGTGGCCCTCTTACATTTGAGTACCCCTGCTCTAGACATTCACCATGAGATCGTCCTGCAATGTGCTCAGTTTAAAGCAACACCGACTCTACCCTCTTCTTGTCTAGGTCAATAATATTTCCCTGATTGGTGAGACCCACAAAGAGGTGGTGAGGATCTTGAAGGAACTCCCGATCTGTGTTTACATGACTTGCTGTCGGCCTGCTCCCGATCTTCAGACCGACCTGGAGTCGGTCCAGACTGCTTCAGAGTCTCTGTCCACATCGTATACCTTAAAGGTATCAAGAACGCAACATTTTGTTGTTTTTAGGCAAAGTTTTATTGATTGCTCAGCTTTACAACATTTTTTATGCAATGTGACGAAACCCTGGATTGTTGTTGGTTATATTTGATGTTGTTATGAGGCATGTCTGTGCATATAAAACCAGGTAATGCTATCAGAAGAAGACACTCCTTCTTTGTTGGAAGCCATCAACCAGGACTAGCCAAGCCCACCTGTCAGCCGCTCCGCTGGCTTTCTGCGTCGTGAGCAGCTGTGGATTAGATTAAGTTTATTTGTAAAGGGACAGTACATATTAATGGATATATATATATATATATATATATATATATATATATATATATATATATATATATATATATATATATATATATATATATATATATATATATATATATATGTATATAGATATAGATATAAAGTATACATATGTAAACATGCAAGATTATAGCCAAGGCTAATTTCCATCTTTAGTCCCTCAGCAGTTGATAGCTGCTGCTCATGTGTGAATACAAACAATCAGGAAAACAAATACAAAACAATGTTGTGATCTTTGGGGCAGCAGTAGCTCAACAGGTTGAGCGGGTTGTCCAGTAATCGGAAGGTTGCAGGTTCGATCCCGGCTCTGGACAGAGAATTCTGCTGTTGTGTCCTTGGGCAAGACACTTAACCCACCAGAGGCAGCCTCGCCTCGCCTCTGTCAGTACGCCCCAGGGCAGCTGAGGCTACATTGTAGTTCATCACCATCAGTGTGTGAATATGTGTGTGAATGGATGAATGATACACTGTAGTGTAAAGCGCTTTGGAGTCCTTACTCTGAGAGGCGCTATACAAGTGTGGGTCATTTATCATTTATCCTAAAATTAAACCCAAAAAAATAAAAAAAATAAAGAATAAAAAGATAAAACATTTCATAATACACCCTAATTTATAAACTTAACCACTTCCGTTTACCCTGTATTAAAACTTAAAAAGTAGCCGCACAAGTTAAAATTCTCCATATATACACATAAAATATAGTCATACACCATTTAGCAGCAAGGCAATATAATAGTCCCCACCTCAGTAGAAAAACACACTTTACGATTAAGCTGAACGTTTAAGATCTCCTTTCTGCGTTTGCTGAAGATCATAGACATCAAATGTTGCTTCCCTTTAGGGAAGAGGGGGTTTTCATCTCTCTAGCTTTGTCTGTGATGATGTACTTAGGCCTCAGCGTCCCAGAGATGTTTCACTTTAAGCCACTGCCAGAAACCTGAGCCACAAACACAGCTAGAGGGTAGCGGCCTGTGGACTAGAGGGAAGTACGGATGGCCTGGTGTTAGATGCTGATTTGAGTCTTTTTTTTCCTTCTTCTTCTTTGTCTTTATAGAAGAGTATAGACCTCAGCACTACAGTGGCTGCTGAAGTCTCAGAGGTGAGCACTAGTGCAGCGATCAGGGATAGTATGACAGAGGAGGTGACAGGATCTCCTCTAGCCATGTGGGAGTCGGAGATTCAGAACATCGAGCTTGAAAAGGGAGAAGGGGGATTGGGATTCAGTATTTTGGATTACCAGGTAGGAGATCTTCAGTAAACATTGTATTAATGAGACTGTTGAGGTAAGACACTTTACAAATGATGGCTTTGCTGGTTTCTCCGCAGGATCCACTGGATCCCACGAAGACAGTGATTGTGATCCGCTCTCTAGTTCCGAGTGGTGTCGCAGAGCAGGACGGCAGGCTGTTGCCAGGAGACCGATTGATGTACGTGAACACCATGAACTTGGAGAACGCCAGCCTGGAAGAAGCTGTCCAGGCCCTTAAGGGGGTCAAACTGGGCAAGGTTCAGATCGGAGTCGCCAAGCCGCTTCCTGTAAGCGACACCATTTCTATCTTTAACTCTCTCTGAAATGGAAAGCAAGAATGTACTTGAATCTGCTAGAAAGTTTTATGCTTGTTTTTATTTTGTTGATGTTATGTTTTGAGCCTGGCAGCCCAGCGTAACACCAAGTCGTGAGAGCTCAGCTTACAAGAGCTTGAATATTTCATGCTTGGAATGAAAAGTGGTTGGAGGTAGGCTGCGAGGTGTGGGTTTCCACCCGCTGTTTTCTAAAACCAAGCCACCAGTCTGAAATGCCTTATTGAGTTTTCCGAGAGCACGCCGCCCCTCTTGTACGTTCAAACACACCGAGGCACCTGTCAAAATAGCAGTTCTGTCCAGCAGCATGCTCATTGCTGCTGGCACCTGAGCCTTTTGAACAAAGCGCTCCTCTCGGCAGCAGATAAAACCAAACAGCGTACATTCCTTCTGCTGTACAGCTGCATGTTTTTTCTGTCTTGAATCTGCCTTTGGATTACTCGGCAAGACCTCTGGGCTGCCAGGGGTTAGCTGGATTACTGAGCTTTAGGGAGCTCTCCTGCAGGATGTGGAATGTACTTCTGAGGGGGTATTTTGTTGTATTGCCTTTCAAAATTGAGTCTTGATGTGTGTAATCCTCCCAAAATGCCTTCCTGATTCTCATATATATATATATATAGAGAGAGAGATATTTGTGTGTGTGAGTTTATATAAGTGTTTGGGCTGCATGCTACACACAAGGTTTTCAAAGAACTTTTACACATGTAATGTACCGCCGTCTCTCTGGTTGACCGAATCACCAGATTAACTTTAGTCCTAACACCCTTTTCTTTCCATCTCCATTCCATACTGATTTATAGATTTGGTAAGACAAAAATCATGAAAGAATTTCTCCACTTTCCTAGGGAATATGTGGATATTCCCACCCTCCACACCCATATGGTGAGCAGGAAATAACTCCATCATCCACCATCCATTCATTTGACTTCAACAGTATTATGGTTGAAGAAGGAGAGGAAGAAGAGCTGACCGAGGGCGTCCTTTACCGAGCAGAACCCGCATTGGTTAGTTAGCGTTTGGGAAAACTGACTAAGCAGATGGGAACGCAAGTTGTGTTTGACTAAAAGTGGAAAGTTTATGGTTGTGTTGATGTTTTGTGTAAAATCTGTGAAGTAAAATCAAATTGGTGATATCAGGATGATAGTTGCATCATTTGGTTAAGTGCTCATTGTTAAAGCAAAGTTGAGTGCCTCAGTTATTTCTGCCTATTATGCCAGATTGAGACCAGTGAAGGGGACCTGTCTGATGAAAAGCTGTTGCTGGGTCATTCCTACACTGGGATGGAGGACGATACTTTCCAGGCGTCTATGATTGCTCTCCACGGCAGCAGCTGCAGCGCTGACTTGGATTACCTGCACTCGTCCACACCAAGGGTAAGCAGATATTTTTATAAAGCAAATCAAACTTTTTTTGTGTGTGTGCGTCAATTCCAATTTTCTACACATTTTGAGCTTTTTTACAGGGACGCTCCGATCAGATCACGGGAAAATAAATCGGGTCTAACCTTTCAAAACAACAAGCGTTACTTTTAAATTAATCTTGAGATAGAGATTTTCAAATTGAACAAAAATAGCTTAATTTTAATTTACATAAGTTCCTCTATTTGTTTCTTGTACAACATCAACACAGTAGCGTCACTGAATTTACGACAGGCAGGGATTCGGACACCAAGGTGTTAGCTACCAGGATAACGCAGAGGTAACATGTCTCCTCAGGAAAGCTAAAATGTGTTTAGCTTGGTTGTTTTCTTAACCGGACAGTAAAGGCAGAGCTAATGCGTGCTTACTGGGCTTTCAGCATACTGGCACACAGCTCCACGATTCACTGCCTTCAAACAGACTACTTTAACTGTTGGCTCTCCCCCTCAGGCGTCAAAAAAAGCTAATCATCGGTCTCCATTAATTCCCAGTTTGCCTCGAACTGTTTCGGTTCACAGTGAAGTCAGACAAAAATGCAGAGCCAGCTGACAAAGATGTGCTAACAAACAGCAAGAACTTGTCAATAAACTGCAAAACGTCTTGGCTTCTAGTTCTCCTGCAGCACTGAAGCTGCTGGCTGGAGCTACAGGTGTTATGCAGGGAAAAGTTACTCTGCCTGCCAAGACTCCGCCTACCAGCTCCGTCACGGGAACATCCATCGCTCAGTACAGCTGCATATTGAGGGATTAAACAACTTAAAATAAGAGTAACGCTGCTACTTTTAAATATATTCATAATATTAACACATTTTTAAATCAGTGTACTTCCTAAATATGTGAAGGGGAAACTTAAAGGACCACTTGGAAATGTTTTCTTCTCATTTTTATGCTTTCCTGAAAAGAATTTCCTTATTTTTTATTATTTTAATGCTTTCCTGAAAAGTACTGGATCAGGACCCTGTACCAGCAGATACTCTGAAGCAAATGACTTGGAATCGGATTAGGAGCAAAAACACGTGATTTGGAACATCCCTACTTTTTCAGCAGATGCATAAGCAGCTCGTGACTTAATGGATGTGTTCTCATTGTGACCTCAGGAGTGCATCTCTCCCTACGGGGAGTGTTTCAGGAGCACAACAGCTGGTCCTGCAAGATCCCTAAATCACAGGAGAATTGCAAGATCACGTGTGATTTCATGCAACTACAAGCAAAAGAAAGATGGCAGCATGAATCCAAAAGATCTGTGGTTAATGTTCTGTTATTTTTACCTTTGCCATGGAGGTGTCACAGGCAATGATGTTTTTTTATACAGTGGGGCAAAAAAGTATTTAGTCAGCCACCGACTGTGCAAGTTCTCCCACTTAAAATGATGACAGAGGTCAGTAATTTACATCAAAGGTACACTTCAACTGTGAGAGACAGAATGTGAAAAAAAATCCATGAATTCACATGGCAGGATTTTTAAAGAATTTATTTGTAAATCAGGGTGGAAAATAAGTCTTTGGTCAATAACAAAAATTCAACTCAATACTTTGTAACATAACCTTTGTTGGCAATAACAGAGGTCAAACGATTACTATAGGTCTTTACCAGGTTTGCACACACAGTAGCTGGTATTTTGGCCCCATTACTCCATGCAGATCTTCTCGAGAGCATTGATGGTTTGGGGCTGTCGCCGAGCAACACGGACTTTCAACTCCCTCCACAGATTTTGAGACTGGCTAGGCCACTCCAGGACTTTCAAATGCTTCTTACGGAGCCACTCCTTTGTTGCCCGGGCGGTGTGTTTGGGATCATTGTCGTGTTGGAAGACCCAGCCACGTTTCATCTTCAAAGCTCTCACTGATGGAAGGAGGTTTTGGCTCAGAATCTCACGATCCATGGCCCCATTCATTCTGTCCTTAACACGGATCAGTCGTCCTGTCCCCTTAGCAGAAAAATAGCCCCAAAGCATGATGTTCCCACCCCCATGCTTCACAGTAGGTATGGTGTTCTTGGGATGCAACTCAGTATTCTTCTTCCTCCAAACACGACGAGTTGAGTTTATACCAAAAAGTTCTACTTTGGTTTCATCTGACCACATGACATTCTCCCAATCCTCTGCTGTATCATCCATGTGCTCTCTGGCAAACTTCAGACGGGCCTGGACATGCACTGGCTTCAGCAGCGGAACACGTCTGGCACTGCAGGATTTGATTCCCTGCCGTTGTAGTGTGTTACTGATGGTGACCTTTGTTACTGTGGTCCCAGCTCTCTGCAGGTCATTCACCAGGTCCCCCCCATGTGGTTCTGGGATTCTTGCTCACCATTCTCATGATCATTTTGACCCCACGGGATGAGATCTTGCGTGGAGCCCCAGATCGAGGGAGATTATCAGTGGTCTTGTATGTCTTCCATTTTCTGATAATTGCTCCCACAGTTGATTTTTTCACACCAAGCTGCTTGCCTATTGTAGATTCACTCTTCCCAGTCTGGTGCAGGTCTACAATTCTTTTCCTGGTGTCCTTCGAAAGCTCTTTGGTCTTGGCCATAGTGGAGTTTGGAGTCTGACTGTTTGAGGCTGTGGACAGGTGTCTTTTATACAGATAATGAGTTCAAACAGGTGCCATTAATACAGGTAAGGAGTGGAGGACAGAAAAGTTTCTTAAAGAAGACGTTACAGGTCTGTGAGAGCCAGAGATTTTCCTTGTTTGAAGTGACCAAAGACTTATTTTCCACCCTATTTACAAATAAATTATTTAAAAATCCTGCCATGTGAATTCATGGATTTTTTTTTCACATTCTGTCTCTCACAGTTGAAGTGTACCTATGATGTAAATTACTGACCTCTGTCATCATTTCAAGTGGGAGAACTTGCACAATCGGTGGCTGACTAAATACTTTTTTGCCCCACTGTAGCTGACTAATAGGAAATCTGCTGGATGCTGTACACTGCTCCGTTTGACGTGTTCTGGAAGCGTAGCACATAGAAAATTGACCCTAAGCGTACTGTAAATGTAGCAGAGCGCCACTACACTACGCTTCTGATACGTGACCAACGCCGGTGTAAACAAACTCATTGACTTTACCAGTGGCTATTAGCTGCGTATTGTACTTTGCAGACATTATGTGACATTTATGCATCCTATGGAGAGTCAGGGTTACTGTTAAGTCCGTTCTCCTTTGTCTTTTATTCGTAAAACAACATTTTAGTTAAAAAAAATTGTTACGACACCTCTTTTCTCTTTTAAACAACTTAAACGTACATTGAATTGGCTAACTCATATTTAATACATGTGGTGGTGATAGTGAAAATTAGCAGGTTATTTACGGTACACTGGCAAAGCCTGCAGCAGCATCAAGAAACAACCTACTTTTTTCATTGAGTGAGAAACTGAGCATGTGTCTGACAAGATGTCTTACCAAGTTTGTATTTCTAAATCAATAACTGCATCACAGATTCTGTTCTTATTTGTGGACTTTGCTTTGGGTGCCACAAGAGGGAACCACTCCTAAAATAATGGTTAAATTATGAATAAAATAAAGAAAAAACAGAGCATCTTCAGTGTTCTCCAAGGCCAAAGCTGAACCTTCTGTAGGGATCTATGTTTTTAACGGGATAACCTAAAGGGAAAACTGCAATAACTACTAGATTTCATAGATATTTGAATTTGGACTGAATTTGCAGTTTCATGAGAGATGAGAAGTTTGAAGAGAAGTATAAAATCCAAGTCAGGGGTCAACTATTTTGACCCTCTTCATCTAAGGGCTCATTGTCGTTACAACCATAATAACAAATCAGATTTTAGGTAGAGAGTATTGGAGGAAATTCTCTTCATTTTCCGTCTTTAACTTTTTTTAACGTCACCAGATTGAGTCTGCCACTGGGACTCTCTTACTGATGTTCATTACCAACCAATTTCTAAAACATCTTAACGGCATGCTTCATACACTCACCATCACCAGTAATTTGTGACATTTTTCCACCAGCTGCTGATGGTGTTTCTGTGGCTCATTACAAGACGAGCAGGACGGTGCCTGAGAGTGATGAATCTCCCCCTCTTTCTCCCCGAGTGGATGTTCATTCGTCTGCTGTGTTTTGTTTCACTCTAGCTGACAGCTCGTCTCAACGTGTTGGACGAGCATCCCAGCTTCACAGACAACGCTCCAGTGTTCTCTCCCGAGAAGTTGGCCTCTTACGATCCAGAGAGTCTGACGGGTCACATCCCAGCTAGTAATGCCCTCCTAAGCAGCTCAGATCAATACCTGGCACAGAACCCCAGCGCAGAGGAACCAGTGGAGTGCTCAGACTCGTACGGCCCGTTAGCTGAAATGGGAGGCAGATCTGCTGTCCAGGAGGCGTCCGTGGACCTCGGTCACTGTCAAATAGAACCTTTTGAGGATATCGGAACTATGACATCTTTTAAGGTAAATTAACAAAACAAATCAGTCATTTCACTGTCAGATTTCCAGGATTTTACTTGATAACTTGTGGAAAAGATTTCAAACATTCATACTAATAAAGGCAAGCAGAAACTTTGCTTAAGATTCATTTTCACATTCTTAGATTGGAATCCGATTTTTGTAATTTACCACAACAAATGAATGTGTTGACTTGTCACCTCCAAGGACGAGGACGTTGGTGTGAAAGAATCCATAGAAGATGGTGACAAAGCAGCACTGACCTCAGGGAGCAGTTTTGAAAGGACTATCACTGTTGTCAAGGGCAACTGCAGCCTCGGTTTGTGTTCACTTCTTAAAAAATAATAAATATTTGTTCTATTTATGTTCCTCTCATCCTCTGCAGCAGTGTTAATGAGCCTTCAGGACTGAAAGGGGGCATTTGGCCTTTTCCTTTGTTTCCTGCTTTTTAAATTCCTACTTTCGAGACAAAAAATGATAGAGGCAATTTCTGGTATTTTTCCCCTCAAAGGGTAAATCTGCTGCTTTACAAAGCATTTTGCATTTCAAAACCAAGCCCAAGGGGCTGCTGCTGGCACGGAAAATACAAAGTTTGAACTTCTGAAACAAATAGGTGTTTAAAATAATCTTTTCAAAGGTAGAAATTGGTTCTCTTTTCTATTTACTGTGTGAAGGTCTGGTTTTTGGTAGCCAATTGGACTAATTTGCATAAAAAGGTCTGGATATACAGATTCTAGTGAGCAGTTTTACCAACCATGAATCAGGAAGGATAAATTACCTTCCACACACTGAGCTGTTTCATAAGAGAACAGACATTTTGTTTCAAATCTGCCTAAATAAAGACAACAATGTTTTGTTTGGGCACAACACAGGTTTGTTGAAACTATACTTTATTGGATAACTTCATAGATTCAAATGTTTTTAGAGGAGGCATAAGGAAATAGGTGCATCTTAAAAGCAACACATCCATCAAAAGGTTTTTCTCAATTGTGTTTTTTACAATTTACTTCAAAGGCATGACCGTGAGCGCCATGAAAGACGGTCTGGGGATGCTGGTCCGTAGCATCATCCACGGGGGGTCCATTAGTCGAGATGGACGACTGGGGGTTGGTGACCTTATCTTGGCCATCAATGGAGAGCCCACCACCAACCTGACCAACGTCCAAGCTCGGGCCATGCTCAGGAGGCACTGTCTCATCGGATCGGACCTCGGGTAGGAGATTGTCGCAGAAACAACAACAACAACCCGGACTTTGATATGTTTTATTTTTAGGAAATCAGAGATTTTTTAATCATGTAACATGGTTTCGATCAATAGTTGTCAGGCTTTTGGAAGGTTTTACAGTGTTTTCTTTAGACTTTGGCTGCTTTAGACTCATTTTTAGCTTGTTCTGTGTCTGGCCTTGGAAGTTTTTTTTGGTGTAGTTTGGGCTTCGAAGCACAAGAAAAGTGGAGGGAAAAGGAGAAATGTTACAACCAATATTTATGAAATTGGAAGTCATAGTAGAACAATGGCTTATAAATTGGGAACGGTAAAAGCCTATGGGTGTTACGGCCTCAAAATCCATAAAGCAATATTATCTGAAGCACGCATGGTAAAAATATATCAAAGGCACAATCCAAAAAGTTTGAAAGCCTATGCGTTAATCGCACTTTGATTGGCGGTAGGCTGATATAGTCAAAATCTTTCATTGGCTAAATTTATATCACTTCTACCGTATACCATTTTTATCACCAATTACTAATTTGATGAGAGGTAAAACATCTGCAAGTAACAAAGCGGAATCCAGCTTCCTTTTTTTACATTTAGGATCAGCATGTTCTGGATGAATGAGAATCTTTGCTATCACAAATGTCGAGACTCAAAGCTGTTTGGATGGACAGTATCTGAATGTCACGACTAGACATGCATCATCCTTCAGTTGATCAGCTACTGATCAGCCATTTTTCTGCTCTGAGGATCTTCTTGTTGATGTCATAAATACAAAAATCTTATATCTGTCAAACTGTAAACACTCACAAAATGATTCTGCAGCCTCTGTTTGTTTTACTGATGAACCAGTATACATACACTATATACACTACCTGACCCAAAAAAAGTCTCCACTAAAGAAAAGGTCACACATGTGGCATTGTTTTGATAAGCTTCTGCAATGCCACCAGATTTATTTCCATCTAGAGTTGCATTAATGTTTCATCAAGATCTTGCATTGATGATGGTAGAGTCTGACTGCTGCACAAAGTCTTCTCCAGCACATCCCACAGATTCTCAAAGGGGTTAAGGTCTGGACTCTGTGGTGGCCAATCCATGTGTGAAAATGATGTCTCATGCTCCCTGAACCACTCTTTCCCGATGAATCCTGGCATTGTCATCTTGGAATAGACCCGTGTCATCAGGAAACAAGGAATAACCTGGTCATTCAGTATATTCAAGTAGTTAGCTGACCTCATTCTTGGAGCACATCCTGTTGCAGAACCTAGACCTGACCAACTGCAGCAACCCTAGATCACAGCACTGCCCCCACAGGCTGGTACAGTAGGCACTAGGCACGATGGGTGCATCTCTTCATCTGCCTCTCTTCTTACCCTGATGCACCCATCTCTTCAGAACAGGGTCCATCTGGACTCATCAGACCACATGACCTTCTTTTATTGCTCCAGAGTCCAATCTTTATGCTCTCTAGCAAATTAACACCTTTTTTCTCTGGTTTCACTCACCGATTAGTGGTTTCCCTATGGCCACCCAGCTGTTCTGTCCCAATCCCTTGAGTTCCCTTCGAATGTGTGCGTGTGACTATTAACCATAGCCCTCAGTTCTACTGTTATTTTTCCTTGATTGGATTTCACTAAATGTTTAGGTGATTGCCGATCACAATCACTCTGGATTTCCCCCCCCACATTTCTTACCCCATGATGATGAGTTCCCGCTATCCTTCCAGTTTTTTTATAATGCGTTGGAATGTTCTTAACCCAATGATATACCACTTACACACTAGCATTGATTCCACCCGCCCCAGCCCGGCCGCATTTGTTCCACACTGCCTTAGGAATGCGAACGTAATTGAGCACATGGGCACGTGGGCAGGGCAATAGAGCGTGGATAAGTTTGCGGTGTCTCCATTATTAAACTTGGTGGCCTGAGCAGTCTTGCTTTTGGAGATTCTGACTCTGAGGCCTAGTCCACACGTAGCCGGGGTTTTTTAAAAACGAATATCCGCCCCTCCAAAAACTTGCATCCACACCACCACGTTTTAAAAAATAACTCTGTCCACACGTACCCGGATAAATACGTTGTTAAGGACATGCCAGACCTGTAGGCGGCAGTACTTCCCCCGTTCTTAACCTCGTCCTTCGTCTGTGGTCTTCTGCAAGGAGCAGTAATTCCGCTTGCAAAAACAAACAAGCAAAAAGTGCTTGGACAATTGATAAAGCGAGCGCAGCTCTGAGGGCGTCCATGATGTCGGCTAGTGTAAACACAGGTTGCACACGTGATGTCAGCATTTTTTTGTCGCGGAAAGTGACGTTGCGGACCTTCAAACTCCGGTTTTGTCCGTCCACACACAGACACCCAAAACGGAGAAAACGCAGATCTTCACTTTGGCCGGAGTTTTAAAAAACTCCGTTTTCGTGTGAAAAAACTCCGTTTTCGTGTGGATGACAGGCCAAAACGTAGAAAAAAAATCTACGTTTTGGCAGATCCCCGGCTACGTGTGGACAGGGCCTCATATTGCATCTTGCTTTGCTATGCCTGGCAGCATTGTGTGTGTGTGTGTGTGTGTGTGTGTGTGTGTGTGTGTGTGTGTGTGTGTGTGTGTGTGTGTGTGTGTGTGTGTGTGTGTGTGTGTGTGTGTGTGTGTGTGTGTGTGCCTCCTCACGGCAGTGACGGACAGAGAAAAATGTCTTCAGTCAGAAGCTTGTTAACTCCACAGCATCCAGAATGATCATGAATTATGCATGCGGTGAGTCCCCATGGGCTGATTTTATTTGCCAATCGGAAGCTCCTCCTAACGGTAGGCGTGCTTTTGAGCCAGCCAATCAGTCAGCAGTGGGCCCTGTTTGGCTCCAGACAGACCTCCTCAAGAAGAGGGCTGAAAAGATGTCCGGTTACCTAAATGAGAAACTCCCAACCCTGGTCCAGGCGAAGTGGAGCCAATGCTAGTGTGTAAGGGCCATTAGAAATTTCTGCAGTTTCCTTAGACGTTTTCTCTGCTTGATGAATGCCAGTGAGCTGACCCTTCTCAAACATTCTTTTTTCATTCTTCCATGACCACGAGATTTTTCTTTCCACATGTTTTTTCAACACATGAGCAGCAACTCATTGCACCAGTTGGAGTTAAATAACTTGTTGCAAGCTGCCGATGCAGTAATTATCCAATAGGAAGCTCGTACCGGTTTGCTTAGTTAAATCCAGGCTAGGAAGACATATGGGCCATTCCCATTTGTACCGGGTCGGCTTGGGCCGGGTAGCCCCAGTCGGCCCCAGCCTGGCCCGGTTGATTCCACACATCCTTGCCTTAAGCCCATGTGGGCTGATTCTACCCACCAATCAGAGGCTTGCTCTAATGGAAGGTGTGAATTTGCTGTCAGCAGTGGGTGTGTTGGCCCTGGTCGGCCTGAAGCAGACCCCCTCGAGAAGAGGGCTGAGAATGAGCCTTGGTTGGCCCGGAAAAATACCAGGCCACCCAGATATGTAAACAACCTACGCTACCCGGCCCGGGCCGACCCGGTACAGATGGGAATGGCCCATTGCTTGTCCACGAAAAAGGTCGCCAACTCTGCATCAGCTTAGGCTCACCTACACTCTGTGATTGATGTCTGCATGTAAGCAGATGTCTAACGCTGTTGGCTAATGCTCAGAGGAGGTCAGTTCAAATTGCATGGGGCTCTATGGGCTGGGGGACGGGCTTAACATAAAAGATGTATTTCCTACATTATACCACAGTGCAGGGACTATCACGCAGTTGAACACAATCATACATAATTCCTGAAAGGGGGAAAACCTTGGATTGTAGCTTTAATGAACAATAGAGATGGGTTACCCTTGGCTTTTTTACAATCAGAATACAGAGTGGGGACAAATATTGCTTTTGTGGCAGAATGCTAGTGACAAGAATACAAGCTAGCAAATTAGTAGCTAGCTAGTGCTCAAACTAACTGCTAGCTAAAGATCTTACCTGGAGCAGGTTCTTTGCTGTTGTCTGATAAGGAATGAAAAATGCAGCCAAAGTATAAAGAAAACCAGACTTTTGCACAGTTGGTCACATTAATCCTGTTAACCAAACCACACTGAGCTGTTCTCCCAAAAGATGTCATTACTGGCCATCTCATCTTCTATAAACCAGTTGATAGAAAGAGGTCTGTTTGAAAAGCATTCCCGGGTGATTCTAATGACAAAATAATCAAGCAGTCTAATGAATGATTTGCTAGTAAAGTAAATGTATGATTTGTACAAATCCTGCTTGCTGCACTGAACTAAACTTGCGGTTTGTTTCGCTTCGGTGCATAAAAACCAACTCTTCACGTTCTAGATCTGCTTGTGCACCTGAGGATGATCTGTGCCCATTTTATGTGTGAGTATGACTAACGTCCACCTTCTGCTGGGGTTTCAGAGCAAAATCTTCTCCTGCTGCTGTTTTCCATGTCCCGCAAATCTCATTTTTCCATCTAACACGAGGTGTATCCAGTGGTATTTGGTCAAAAATGCGTCCATAAAGTGATATTTGTAATATGAAATGAAGGAAGAGACCTATTCTCATCCTAGAAACACCAATCTGGACACACTGGATGCGCCACTCAACTTGCTGCATAACTTTCTTTCTTTTAATTCTAACAATTAACACTTTTTTTGAAGCTCATTTAATTTTTTTCTACATGCGTCTGTGACTTTAAAGCTCTGACATTTCTCTCACTGCTTGTTTCTAATGATCAAACTCTTTTTTTTTCTCCAATTCATTTTCCCTCCTGTCTGCATGTCTTTATATTTAAAATTTGAAGGAAAAAAAAATGACAACAACGAGCCATCTGTTGAAGATCTGTCAGCCTCACTCTGACGTGTTAACGCACCCTAGAGAGTCAGCTTCACCCTGAATTGTTTTGAGATGGATCTGCGAGCGGATGACAGTTTGTCACCCGTCCTTCGGCTCATCTCTTAAAACGAATTAGCGTCCCGCTCTCTCTCCATTAATAATAGATTAAACAGATCCTTCAAAACGTGTCACGTTTGGCACGCCGTAGATGGCTGAAGGCTTGATTCGCTCAGACATTTATGAAGGCAAACACCTGTTTTGAGCAGTCAGACGTCAAGATTTTACATATAATTCATCGACATCTCACCTTGAGCCTGTCAAAAGGAGCAGATATTTGGTTCCGAGTGAGAAGTTCAATTAGACAAAACTGAGAAGTACATGCTTCAGTGTGTAAATGAGGGTATTTAGAAGATTGAGGTCTTTTAATGGAAAGCATTTTGAGTTTGTAATCCTGGCTTTTCAACGATGCATTAGCAGCGCGTAACGTAGAAGCTGCGTCCCTTTCACCGCTAGCTGTTCCCAAAATCAACGAAGGATTGCTGGATCACATTTGATTTGCCAGTTCACGTGATTACAAGCAAGAAGAAAGACGGTAGCCTTCATCCCAGTGGTCTGTGGTCTATTTCCTGCTCTTTTTATCTCAGCCACTGAAGTGTCACTGGCAATGGCGTATTTTACTAGTTAAGCAATAGGAAATCTGCATGTCTTTTATTTTGAAAGTTAATGGATGTTTTCACTGCTCCTGTGTTTGACTTCCTGTTAGACCTGATCTGACCTGCTGAGCTTGATGTGTTCTTTGAGTGTAGAGCATAAAAAAATAAACTAAAAGCATAAATTCAGCCGAGCGAGGTGGATGGAAACACACCCGTCGACTATAACAGCAGCTATTAGCTGTGTCTTACGTTTTGTGGACGTTACGCGATGCTTACTCATCCGCTTGAAAGCCAGGGTAATGAATTGGGTCTTAATTTCTGTTCACCTTCGTGACTGGGTTTCTACACACTGACTCTAGATTTTTGAAGAAAAACCAAAAAACTGCTGATTCATTTCCATGCCTGTGTTCTTTTTTATGGGTTCAGTATCACTTACGTCCCCGCTGAGTACCTGGAGGAGTACAAGGCCAGCGTGGAGCAGACTAAAGATGATGTATTCTCTGAACTTTCCTCAAAGTAAGTCATGATACTTACTAAAACCCTGAGTCAGGTCATTTGATGCAAATCTAAAGGTGATTAATGATGTTTTTGTTTCTGAATCTGAATTTTCTAAATGCAGAAGCCACTTCAGTACAAGTGCATTCTCTATGTAATCCAACTACCGTAATTTCCGGACTATAGAGCGCACCTCAATATAAGCCGCACCAACAAAGAAAAAGGTTTTCTACACACACGCCGCACTCAAATACAAGCCGCGGCGCAGCGGCCACATGCAGGTCTCCGGCGCACAGCGCATGTACGGCCGTAACATAAGATAATCGGACATAAAGACGCTACACGGAGGTTTTTCGTTGTTGTTTTAATTCAACAAAACAAATTTTAAACACGGGTGAGCACTGATAGCATTCATATTTCTGGATGGTTATAAAATAAAAACAGAACTGACACGTTATTACCGGTAATTTGCATGCATGTTTAGAAGAAAAGAACAGTGCTGACACAGCATTAATAAGCCCTGGATGATTAGAAAATAAAAACTGCACACAAAACATGCCTGGTTAGTAAATAAAACACACTTGCCTACCAGAAAAAGTAATTCGCTCTCATCTTCCTCTTGCGCACTAAAGCTATTAAAGTCCTCTTCTTCAGTGTCGGAGTTGAACAGCCTCAGAAGAGCTTCGTCACATACCTTTTCTGTGGCGATGTCAGTGTCGCTGTCAGTGTTGCTGTCATCATCCCCGGGTGAAGCTGGTTTGAATGAGTTCTTCCCGCTGCCGTCTCCAGCGCCGAACCATGGATTCATTCATGCCAAGCTTACGTGCAGCAGCACTGTTTCCCTCCTTTACTGCCAGATCGATGGCCTTCAACTTAAATGCGGCATCATATGAACTCATACGTGTAGTTACCATGATGAGGGGGTATGGATTTGAAAAAAATTCTTTGTCGTGCCGGCTGCTTGCATGTGCTAAATTAAAATGAGCACTTTCTTAGATTTCCACTTTTGACTTCCACCTGTTTCACTTTCTGCTAAAGCGCCCCCTGCAGGTGAAGGAAATCTTCAGTTAAGCTGCACCTCATTATAAACCGCATGGTTCAAAGCGTGGGAAAAAAGTAGCGGCTTATAGTCCGGAAAATACGGTACATTTAATTTTCTGTATCATTTTAAAGTTTTTCAACATATTCCCTTTAAAAAAGTTGTTTTGAAATGTATTTTACCTTAATGTAACTAAACTGCAGCAAATACAACATGAATTCTAAGATCTATGACCTTGTTCTTCAGTCCTAAATTAATCATTTAAGATAGGCTAAACATGTAAATTTGGTCTAAAACTTGGCTGAATTTCAACTTGCACTTTAATCATTATTTACATTTAGAATAAAGTCATTAGTCTATTACGAATCGTTTTATTAGATGTGATTTATCAATAAAATAATTAGATTTTGAGAATAATCTTCTGTTTTCTAAGTTTTCCTGATCCATTACTTTTTATTTTCACAATAATTCTCCGTAAAAGAACAGAAATGACAAGTAATTTTTTAGCGATGTTTAGGAATGTTGTTTGTCAAATTTCCTGGAAAACTAAATTCCTGAGTTATTCAAATTTTAACTGTATTTTATTTGTTGAATTTCAAAATCTTTGATCAGGCCTTGGGAGTCAGAGTAACCCAACTATACTGAGCGTGTTTTAAAGAGTAAAAAAAAATCAATAAAATAAAAATGTTCTTTCCATTTTCCTGAACATGAAGGATGTAAAGCAACACTTTCTCGCCTCTCCCTCCTGCTGTAAACAAGCCTGCTGACCGCTGGCGCTAACAACGAGCTAACGCTAACAAAAACCAACTGATACTACATTGTTTTTTACTGTGTGGCTTTTTTAGTAAACAAGCAACAATTCAAAAAGATCCACAGTGTTGGAAAAGCAAATATTATTATTTACAAGTCCAGTAGCAGCAAAGCCAGCTACGTGATTTCATAGCCTCCTTTAGCTCTCTCAAACCGCACAGACGTTCACTCTGGTTTTGGCTCTTTATTTCACCTCTCTTACTTTTACTTCCAGGCTCTGCCATGATGCCAACGGAAAAAGCTACATCTTTCTTCTTCTTCGTGTACTGAAAACGCTAACTGCTAGCTTTTACATTAGCAGTAAACAGCTATTGCCGTAAAGCAGGCAGTGAGCTAGTGTTACCCACCCGAACCACAAAACTGTTGAGTGGAGCTTCTGGTCAGCACAGTGATGTCCAACCTGAAGTTGCTCAAGTTTATGTGCCAACAATCACCAAAACTAGTTTGAAAGCATTAGCTTAAAGAGTAAAAAAAAAAAACTCCTCAGTGTTGCCTTAACTTGAAGAGTATCTTTACACGCATTGTTTCCTTCCTCCACTAATACAGAGATCTTCCCAACCTCCCTGAGCGTGAGGATGGAGAGGGGGAGGAGAGCACCACTTACAGCAACTGGAATCAGCCTAGAAAGTGAGTGAAACCATCTGAGCCTCCGATATAATTGTTTTAACACGTTTAATCTGCTTCAGAACGGTACAGCTGAGTCGCGTTCTTTTTTCCTCAGAGTGGAGCTTTTCAGAGAGCCAGGCAAGTCTCTGGGGATCAGCATTGTCGGAGGCCGGGGGATGGGCAGCCGTCTGAGCAGCGGAGAGGTGATGAGGGGCATTTTCATCAAACACATCCTGGAGGACAGTCCTGCTGGACAGAATGGGACCTTGAAGACTGGGGACAGGATTGTTGAAGTAAAGGAATGCTTTAGTTCTTTTTGTACGCCTTCTGTTCCAATAAAAGTAGCCAAAATATTTTGTTTGTTGACGTCTTCTTAGGTGGATGGAGTCGATTTAAGAGACGCAAGTCATGAAGAAGCTGTGGAAGCCATACGAAGGGCGGGAAACCCCGTCTCCTTCCTGGTCCAGAGTATTATCCACCGACCCAGGGTGAGTCTGTATAATAGAGCCAAACCAAATGCTATTAACTTCCTCATAATTTAAAGGTCACCGTTTCCTTTGTCTCCACCTCGTTTATCATCTCATATCCAAGTTTATAGTGTCTGCTCAGGCCCTTTAGGCCACTTTCACAGCTAAACTGTACAATTCATGTCCTGCCTCGGCAGTGTTGTGGCTCTCCTAAGAATTAAAAGTATTTTTCAAACATTTTATGAGCGCAACAACAAACCCCGGTTGGCATATTAGCCTTTTTGGCAAGTTTTAACCTTTTCAGAGAGCCACATATTGAAAAAATATCACCACATCAACAAGAGTGTTTTGTTGTTTGAAAGTGCCCTCAGGCCTCTAACGCATGAGTAAGTAGTTTCCCGCTGGGGGCCGCCGCTGGCCCGGCTACCGCCTCACATCTCTCCCTCTGTTACATCACTTCTGCTCTTGTGTTAATTTGGAGATATTCCCTCCTGCCTTTCGCTAACACTTTGGTTCTGGGAAGGCATGCAGCAACTCATAATCTACTATTCTGTGTCTGGATGGCTTGGGTGCACTCAGACTGGCAATCTCTGACTGCTCCTGGAGGTTTCGGTACTGGAAAGTATCCCCAGTCTGAGAAAAGTTGAATATAGATAAAGACGGCACAGGCACAACGTGAATGTTCAACTGAATGTGCTTAAAATGAATAAATCCAGCAGATGGTTCAGTGCAATGACTAAAAACAACTACAAACGAAGTTGAAGCAGCTTTTCTTGTCAGTGTGAGGAAACATAAACCCTCCAACTGTTAAGTTTCACGAAACCAATAAGGAATAAAATGCCATCTTAATTTTAGTCCCATGGACTTTATTAGCTTCAAACTTTTACAGCACCAGTCCTGGCGTGGAGGCTTTTGATCCTACCTGATTCCATGGGTGAAGGGATACCCTCTCTGCCGACTATTGGCTGATAGGTCAATAGGCCTGCCCTCCTTTCTTATATGTGTAGCTTGAACCAATTACAACAAAGTATATCGCTGATTGATGCACCAAACAGCCAGTTTGGAAAACAATGTCTCACATGTTTCATCACAAAACCCAACCACTCGCTTCTGCAAACTTATCAAGAACAACTGTGATTGGTGGATCATTGTGTGTGACCGGTACCCTTAACATTAGATAATATTGCAGCTGGACTATTGCAAACGCACAATGCAATGCAGATTCCCAAATTATAGCTTCTCTAGGTCCAGTTTCCAGAAGGTTTGACACCACTTCTTAAAATATATTTCTAAGATAACACTGCAGATTGATGCTCTAGTGGTTTGGTCAGGGGTTTTCCTGCGTTTAAATTTGCGTGGCGGCCACCTCCAGCTATTTTTGTGCTGCCCCAGCCTGATTTCACTCTGTCCCCAGCTATATGGATGTTATTTGAACTGCAGTTGCAGCGTTGCGCCACTACAGGGGCGCTGTACCAGCAGCGGTGCACCGAAACGCTTCTAAAACCGCTGCAGGAAAAAGATCAAAAATTGCTTTTCTCGCTAGTTGGTACATATCTATGGTTGGTGCTATTTACTACCGGGGGGGTTGGGTTAGGTTGGGTTGGGCTCCCACACTGAATAAAAAGTCCGGGTTTTCGTCCAGGAGCAGGGATGGAGTTATGGGGGCTAGATATCTTTCAGGGAAAGATCCAGTTTCTGCCTATATTACAATATTTATGGACGCTCAGCGTAGCGGGATTATGTTGAGCGGAGAGGACGCAGAGCGTTGACCGTTGGTGCGCCCGCTGCGTCCGGCGCACGATACATTCTCAAGGTGGCGCAACAAAACATTATTATTAACACATGATCGTTCATATCTGTTTAAATCCTCTGTTATTCTGTCTTTTAATCGTTCCTAATGTGCTCCGCTCATCGTGTGCTGCAGTGATTTCACCTCACTGACGCAGCATCGAAACGCGCACTCCTCTTTGCGGTCAGAAGATCCCTTTGATCTGCTCAGAAGTAACTGATGAGGTGAAAAAGTAAGAATCCAGGCAGCAGTTTTTCTGGAGAGTTTAGAGGGGATGCAGGAAGTTTAGAGACGGACAGGACAGGAAAATAGTTCAATAAAAACATGAAAACAAAGCTTGAAAGTAAAATGTAGGTGGATTTATCTTCACTACACGCTTTTACCTGTCGAAAACAATAAGTTACACACATGTCATATTTATACATCTGATACAACTCAGATCACCTTCAAAACTCAGTCACACACCCAGGGCCGTTTCAAGGCATTTTGGGGGCCAAGGCAACACAGAACCCCCCCCCCCCCAACCCCAACCCCAACCCGTACATAATAGACATGCCACCATTACATTGTTAGCAGCAGAAAGTAAATGTTATTACCATTTCCAATACAAATGCATGTTAATGAAATGCATTATATTTTACTGGATGTATTTATGTGTCATTTTGACTAAGATGAGTGTTATTAATACAAACCTAAAATGTCACTGAATTGTAGGTCAAATATTTAAAAATATTTTAACTGTAAATATCAGATGGGAAAAATGAAACTAAACACCAATCTAATGCATATTATTGAGCCTTTTATAAGTAGAGTCTGTTTTTTCAGCCTGATAATGTTGTTTTATTTCATATTTTGAGCAGAAAACCAGTTTTGTTTCACTTCAAATGTTGTCAAATGGAATATTCAATTAATCCACAGAAGCTTAGATTAGAACACTTAACGGAGAAATATTTGGCCTTTAAAAAAGTGAGGCAGTTGAATGCACAGAGTATGCATGTGCTGGTGCATGGTCAGGATACCACCTCTGTCTCAACTTGAGCCAGAAAAAACCCTGTTTGGTGCTCTTTGTTTCTTATGTTTATTATTCAGAATCTTTTTCTTTATGCGTCCTGTTTTTCACTTGCTCCATTTGTATTTTTGCACCATTCCACCAAATCAAATTCCTAGTAATAAACTCTCACTTACTTGGCAATAAAACATGATTCTGATGTACTCAATAACTAGCTGATGAATGCATTCATGGTGTTTATTAAGAACAATTCAGATTTTAGCCACTAAGAAGTGTGTTTCTGTGTGAAACCTAAATAAAGACCATATGCTCAATATGGATAACTTCCTGATCTTCTGTTAATGGAAAAACTGTTTCAGCATCCAACAGGACTCACACACTAATCTGAACCAATAACAGGTTAGATTAATGTCTACTGCTCAAATCTCCTAAAATTCAAAATAGTTTAAGCAAAGTAATGTTATAAATAATATTTTGGCTTCATCTTTGCATGTCGTGATTATTCCAGCAGACATGTTTTAAATTCCTGCAGGACTTGACCCCTCCATGCACCACAACTGCTACATTTTGCTTGTGAATAACCAGAGAATTCCATGTAAATCGTTTGAATGCAAAACTGACAGCGCTGGCCATTAGTGTCAAAACAGTATAAAAACAAGAATTGGTGTATTTCTAATCTAGATGTTAAAGATCTGTAACCTTTTAGTCCTTTAGCGCATAGCAAAGCTCCACTGCAAGATTTCAAGAACAAACAAAAGCCTATTTATGTCTAAAAATGTGTTTGTGTTGCATTTCATTGTTCACTTCATTATGAGTTGCTCCATTCTCACCTGTCTGTCCTTCCGCTCGGGTCTCTTAGCCCACATCCTTTTATAGTCCTGCTCAGTCGCCTGCTGCAGAGAAACACACCGCTTTCACATGCGTGCTACATCGCACACGTCAGGTAATCTGTCTCTGTCGTTTCCGTCTCTGTGATCTGTGTTGCATCAGCCATCCATCACCTGTAATCTTAGTTGGATTATCTCTCCTGTCTTTTTCTTTTTTGTTCCTCACACTGCTTAGTCCCTCTGTTCTGAGTGTCTTTGCTACAAAAATGTTGGCCGTCAAAGATGTGACGGAGAATTGGAGATCTTCACTCCAGGAGAAAAACAGAGGAGGTTTATCTATGCTGACATTCAGCTTTGTTTTCTATTACAGAACAATCCACCTGAGAGCCGAGGCTCAATTATGATGAAATCATCACTACATTATTTATAGAGAACATTAGGGGCCGCCAACCTTTATTGGAGTATAGCACTGATATTGTGCCATGCAGTGTTGCCAGACCGGAAATAGTAAGGCATCGTACCAGGATCTTAAAATGATCATATTTGAGAAAAATTATCGTACACTACTTAGTTGCATCCTGACACATCTGATGACCCACAGCTTCAATATTAGTGCAGTCATAGGCAGCGTCATGCATCACTGCATGCAACGTAAGTGTTGATTGGTTGTTAAGGAATGTCTGGATGCAATCCGCAGTCGCAGATTCCACACAAGAAAGGGCTGAAATTATTGCACATGTGGGATTTATGATCGTACAGAGGGCTAAATTATCCTTCAAATACGATAAATATCAAATGTCTGGCAACACTGGCACCATGTCAACAGTTAAATATTAGAATTACATTATTATAATGTTTAATTGAATTATTCAATCATTTTGTTGATTTAAATTATTAAACAAACAACAGTTTGCAGCTATTAGTTTTTAATTAAGCAAAACAAATGTGAACAATGTTGAATGTCATCTGTATATACGTGGTAGGGTGCTAAGAATGTGCAGAATATGGAAAAAAATATAGAAATAACCTTAGGTTTCCTAAAACAGTACCTTGTGGTACACCTTTAGCAAAGAAGGCCTGACAAAGGTTTTCCTTTGACAGATTAATGATTTTTCCAAAGCAGATTTGTGAACTATCCCCATTGAAATTTAACAATTCATATGCATTTAAACAATGTGTTGCCTGCACAGTATACAGGAATGACTCGGTATTCTAGAAATTGTGTAGAAAACAAGGTGGACAACATTATAAGTGCAAATATTGCAGGAAGATCCGTAGAATCTCAAACAACTAGGCTTTCTCAAGAAAAAACAGGATGAAATTTAAGTGCCCAAACTTCATTCCCAGTACCCTTTTAGAGGGGGAATTGCTTAGTTTCAACACTCCTAGGAAACATTAAGGCAGAAATTTAACAAGGATGAATGCACAATAGGACATGAATTAAAAAGAGGTTAAAACAAATGCTATGCCCATTTCTAAGGTTGTGATCACTACTTCTCCAACAGGATATGTACATTTCCTTAAAAATCTGCTATATCGAATACTTCTGCCCTCTTGTGGTCGAGCCAAGTATTTCAAGTGGCTGATTTTGTAAAATTTGAGTATTGTTGTACTGTTACTTAAAAAACTATTAGCGCTAGCTAATAAATAGTTCAAATAAAATAAGTTTAGATTTGTTTATCTGTCAGGCACTAAAAGGATACGAACAAGAAAAAATTCATACAATAATTATTTAAATCTTCTCTCACTTTGTTGCAGCTCAGCTGAAGTTCATAAAAAATTCAGATTATCCTTTTGACTTGACGAAACGCCTAAGTGAGTTCGACGGAGCAGTAACTCTGCTTAAAATGCAGCCGGTGAGTTCCGTCGAGAGAGTATAACATCATCTCCCCCTTTAAGATTCAAATCCTTCCTTTGTGAGCCATAAATAATCTGAAGGTAGCCTGCAGGTATCTTTTAAACATTCTGTTAAACTGTTTCAGAGAAAGTGCTCTTCCTCCATTTTTTTATGTAAAAGGAAATGGCTTTCCTGAAGGAAACCGTTTGCTTTAATGGTTACCAATTTAAATAAAACCTGAGGTGCTTCGCTTCCTCCTCTTTTTTTCTCCCACGCTGTCTTTGATTGTGTTTTTTTTTGTCACAGCTGTCTTATTAAAGCGTCATGTTGTCAGCTTGTCCGTCTTGTGTTGCTTTTTAGAAGCCGCCCCTGCCCTTTCTACAGCTAAATAGCCAACACAACTCCAGCCGCTGCCGCACTAATCAAAGCTTCTTAGCAGCTGCCCTCCCTCAGGTTAGAAAGCCACCCTGTGTGTGTCCGCTTCCACTTGACCTGTACTGTTATGAATCGGGAAAAAATGGTTTTAACAAGCTGCGTGTCATGAGTGACGAGGATGAAAGAACATGGTTAAATCAGTGTTAGTTGGAGGAAAGGTTTACTGCATCAGAGGGTCTGGATATCCATCAGTAAAAAGCTAATTTGTCATATCTTTTATGGTAAACTGCTGCTCTCAGACAAGACCAATCATTTTTCTGTTTCCTTATCCGTGTGCACTCTCGTTTTGAATCTACTCCTCGTTTGTTGGTGTGTGTTTACCTTTAATTCTCCCCTTAGCTTTACGTTGTCCCTTGGTTTGCATCAAGCCAAAGATCAAATGATATCTGAGGCTTTTACTGTAAGTGCTTTTTATTTTCCTTCCATCTTTGAAAGAGATTTTTGTTCCCCTCCAATTATCCTTCGAATATTGTGCTAAGTGCCTCAGTGTAAGAAAGACAGCTTGATTAGACAGTTGGCAGTCGGCACTGTTGCACTGAAATGAATTCGGGAAGCCAGAGTTTCCAAATAACTTTTTGAACCTAAGGATCAAAGACATTTTTTGTCACCCGATCGACCAAGGTTAGGTGGTGATACCAAGTCTACCAATTTGTCCAAAAATAAATTTGCTTGAATATCATCCCTAAAAAAATTAAATAAAAAATGTACTCTTCTTCTGCTGCCATTCCTGTTCTATGTAGATCACAGGTGAAGAATGGCATTAACTCATTCACTGCCATTGATGACTAAAGTCATTGTTTTAAATCCAACCGTTCGCTGTCATTGATAAAGTCATCGTTTGCGTTTTTAACGGGGAGGGCTTGGGAACGAGCGAGTAAACATCACAGCTTGAAAGTTGATTTACATCCGTGTGTGTCACACGTCACGTGATCATGAAGCGGACACTCCATGAATTAGGAGATCGTTTTTGGATGTCGCTATGCCTAAAGCGAGGCACAAACTGGAAAAGCTTCTGTAGCTCACACTTCTGACAACAGACTGTGAAAGAACAAAAAAAGGCTAGAAATGCACTGATTCTTCCTGATGTAAGAAGTGAGTCTACTCATTCTTTAGGTAGTTTTGGTGTTTATATGAGAGGGTGCTCGCTGCAGAACCACAAAGGCGGAGCTGCACCAGAGTCAGCCCCGCCCATTCACGCAAACTCAGCCTAGCCCACTGACTTCCGTTTTTGTTTTCAACTTTATCGCAAACTGACCTGACCCACATGAATTACGGCTGTTACTAGTTTACCGTCGTTAATGCTATGTTCTATGCTCCAATTAAACAAGATAAATATAACTTGCTACATGACAAAGCCTGAATATATCACGAAATGAAAAGGTTTCTTTCAGCGAATATCTGTCCACAGCCGCTCTAACAAAAGTGGTGTATAACAGCATGTCTGACTTTTAAATGGGCTTTGGTAGTCTAGTGGCGAGATCGTCTGTGTTAAGTTTTGCTTTCCCCTCAGCTGATGTTGGTTCGATTCTCGGTGGGGTCGTCAGCAATCTATTTAGCCAGCTGAAACATTTAATTTGTTTATATTTTAGTTGTAATGTTTATTTTCAACAAAATATTTATGTCTCTAAGAGTTCTTTGAATTTGGTCGTTCCTAAACAGCATTTTAGTTGAAACTCTGCTCACAAATGGACTCATACTGGCTAAATAAACGAATAAATAAATAAAAAAACACATTAGTCATTATATGTTAAACGGTACACCAGTAAATTGTTGTAAACATAGTACTGGCAAGTGTAGCTAGAAATGAAGAAAAGAGGTTGTACATTACCTAAAACTAACACTAATGGGAGGCGAACCTGCGCAAAACTGCATGTCAACCTGATTCCATAACCACTACACCACCACATCTGTTATTACTCATGCGGCGTTACATCTAATTCTGCTGCCCAGTGTGTCTTTGAGATGGGTTGTATGGTTTATTGGCGGTGTCTCAGTAGAAGTCATTTCAGAAATAATTTGTCAGAAAATTCACAGAATATCCAGATTTGAGAACCAAGACCAGACCCGCTTCGGGGGAGGAGACCAAATTGAAGCTTAGATGGGAGGAAAATGCATGAATGAGGCTAAAAATGGCTTTGGCGTTTTTCTTATGAGGAAATGACAATATAACATGATTTAAAGTTCCAAAAGTTAGATTTTTTATTATATGGAACCTTTACAAAAACTGTTCAATTAACTTCTCAACTCCGTCCTCAATCTTGCATTTTTTAGCTGTAACACCCTCTTTGATTCCAGAATGCTATCAAGTCTGACAACTGGAAGGAATTGGGACTGACTCTGATGGAATGGGCGGGGCTGACTCTGGTGCAGCTCCACCTTCTGGTGCAGCTCCGCCTTTGTGGTTCTGTAGCGAGCACCACTTGGTTTATATGGTCACAGAGCACAATATTCTGTGATACTTCAATAAAAAAAACTGTTCAAATGCTCAAAAACGCTGGAAGTCAGGGGCTTTCTGTTCAGATAGTGGCTAGCAGTGACTGAGTTAAAGGCGGTTATTGCCCGACACCTATATATTACACATCCAAGGAATGTATATATATATATATATATATATATATGTATATGTATGTATAGGCAGATGCCAACGATTTGTGGAACTGCTGCCCCCTACATGCTTGGCATGCCTTTGAATGAACTTCATAATGTATTGAATTTTTTTGCTGAAAGCAAGGTGGTGTGGACCCACACCACCTAGATGGGTGGGGTAGGATATTTGGTTTTACAAGAACCCTGCTATGTGTGTACACAGCCTCAGTGTTTATGAACGTGTTGCTCCTGTTGTTTTGCCACCAAACAAGAGTGTCACTGTGAGGTCATTGGTAAGGGTCGGGTCTTCTTTAAGTCAGTTACCAGACCTCACATAAATGGAGATGACAAGTGGGATGCTTTAGCTCATATGGAGTATTAAGACAATAGTATTTTAGGAAGATTTAGTGATATTTAGCCTTTAAAGCCAGAATGTTTTACCATATCAGCATATTGTCTATCTAGCCTTAGTCATTTGGGTCATTATGACTTTGGATGGAGCCACTGGTCTTTATGAGCTTGGCGTCTTTGCTGACAGCAGCAGGATGATATAAAATCTTTCATTATGCAGTGACAGAGTTGATGTATGTGTGACATACAATAATTTAAAAGACCTTTCTTAAACTATCTGCTGCAGAGCAGAGTGATTTACCTTCATGTCTTTCTTAAAGCAACAGCCATCGATATCAGACTCCAGCAAGGAGAGGGCTGCGACAAAGGACGTCAAGGACAAGGTTGGTGTTTTAGTTTCCGCACCCTACAACAAACAAAAAGAACAGCCTTATAGACGTGCGTTTACGTCATCAGTTCTCTGTGTGTTGTAATGCAAAACATGTAGGTAACTGTTAAGTGTTGTCCTTGTTCTCTTCTCTGTAGGAGGGTGAAAGTCACAGTAGACTTTTTCTCCGCCTCTCCCCAACTAACCCTTTCACTCCTACCCCGTTTAAGGTTTGTGGGTCTCTGTGTTGTGGTCTCTGCTTTCCCTTCTCTGTGTATGTTTGTACAGTTATGTTGGCGTAATGCAATACACTCCAGACGTTGGTGTGTATTCAATGCAACATGCTGTACATGCATACACATGCTAACCTCTCTACCGTCTGCCTGAACTCTCGTATGTTTTGTCAAATCGGAAAGCTTTTTTTTTTACCATTGCTTCTGGAAAATAACTGAATAGCTTCATTTTTGAGATTTTAGCTTTTGAATTTGATAGAAATTTAACTAAAGAGAAATGGTAAGCAGATATGTGAATATTTGATTCTAATTTACTAATTTTATGAGAAATGAGCTGAAAATAATTCTTTTGGTTGAATAAGGTGATTGAGGCTGTCACATATAGGTTCATAGTAGGCATGGGCCAGTAAAAGATTACAACTCCTTATGGGGAAAATACCACATTTCTATTCTAATAATAATAATAATAATAATAATAATAATAATGGATTGGATTTATATATCACTTTTCTAGGCACTCAAAGTGATTTCCATCATCAACGCACTCTCACAATCACACACTGTCATAATAAAACAAAAAGGAAATGAAAGAAAAGAAGCATACAACATAAATTATTTTATTTCTTTTAAACTGCCATTGCTTTTTTAATATCACATATTTCTATAGTCAAGTCAAGTATCCTTTAATCCGGACTCGTAGTCCAATCTCACTGGTAGTAAAATTTGACAGATAGAATAAAATAATCACAATACAACATGCCAAAATATAAGAGGCAGAGTAACAATAGGAAGAAAAACAAGGCACAATTATAACATTGAGAAAAATATATATCCATCTATCCTTTGTCCAAACCCGCTTAAGCATGAGGTTGGTGGGTGCCTTTCTCCAGCAATGTCTGGGCAAACAGGCGGGTTCACCCAGGACCTGTATCAGTGTAGGAACTCATTTTTATATAGCGCCTCTCAAGAGAAAAATCACAAAGGGCTTCACAAGAACAAGCAAAAAAGTAAAAGGATAATATATATATATATATATATATATATATATATATATATATATATATATATATATATATATATATATATATATATATATATATTTATATATATAATTTAAAAAAATGTAATAAAAAAGATGAGATCCTTAAAATGTTATTTGTAGGATGTTCAGCCTACAAATAACCTTATATACCATGTATAAAACTTCTTAAGACAGCTTGTGTTGTGAATAAAATATTTATATTGTGCATTTTATTTTCAAAAAATAATCTTTTCCACTAATTTGAGGTTAAACACAATCCGTCAAAAAGCACTGAGTAAGAAGCAATAATTAAAGGTGTGGTTGACTGTAAAACCATTTGAAAATCCTCACAGATCTACTTCACACTGTGAATTAACATTCATGGACTCATCACTCTGGCAGTTGTTGGTTTAACATCCAGGAATCAGCAGCGGACGTCTTGGCTTGTTTAAGCTAACCGTTAGCATTAGCAACTTCACTTCACAGCAGATGTCCTCCAGGCTTGTGTTATTTGTGGAGATACAACATCCATCCTGTGATGTCGCAGACCTGGCCTGCTGACAGGGGCATGTGGGCTTTTTTGTGCCCTGAGTTCTGCCTGCAAGGGATTAGTTCCTTCTAGAAACCACTGCAAACGCATTGATTAAATGAGTAATCCACACCTTTAAAAACTTGCATATACTTTACAGTAAGGTATACACACATGTAACACGTACACATCATCAAACACATGCACACATGACTGCATCTGTAAATTTATACACTGCAAATAACGGAGCTGTATTTCACAGTTATGTGTACTGAATGAACTTTAGGTCTTTGTCCAGATGGCAGCAGCTGAGTGAAGTTATATTAAAATATTTGGCGGCATTTTAAAATTTAGAACACAAATTCACATAAGGAGAGAAATTTTGCTAGTTTATTTATTTATTTTATCTTTTGGGACAATTACCATTAATTACTGGAGTCCAGTTGCCTTCATTTGAACTCTTTGGATTAACATAACCTGGATGACTGAGAACCTTCACCAGCATACCATTAATTACTGCTGTAGCAGTCAGCAGGTCATTTATAGATTATCTTCAGCAGATCCAAACCAAACTATAATAACACGCAAAATTTAGTTATTTTTTTATAGTTCAAAAATAAAAAAAATAGTTTTTACCTCTCAGAACAGTTTTTACTCAGAATATCTGTTGTTTTTAAACAAAACTAAGCCACATGAGAGGAGGATGATTGAACAAATGAAATCTTTGCCTTGATGACACCTACGAAGGTTATTATGATTTTCTATCAGAAGCTAATGCAGGAAATAGAAGTAGGACACTATTTTCATGTTCAGCCTGCATGTTAAATTCAGAGTGAACACTCATTTGCAAAAAAAATTTAAAATTGGTCTCTCAGTGAAGGACCTCTTTAAATGTTGAGCTTTATTTTAATAATTTGTCTGCTTTTAAAAAGCATAATTCAATCCAATTATTTAAAAGGTCCAAAGTCTGCGTATTACTTTTTTATAATTATTTTTACTTTGGGTTGAGATTGCAGTCAGACAAAACTGGGTCCTCATGCGCTGATGTACAGCGAAAGTTGTCTCCATTTTTCAAACATCGCCCTTGTAGCCACAAACAGCGCAACATGTTACTGTATTTTTCAGGGGCAAATAGTTTTTAAAATCCTCTTGAAATATTCAAACGGGCTGCTACAACCCATGCTTTCGTTCTTTTTTAAACACAGAAACAGTTTTGTTTACCTGTTTGTAGCTACAGTTTCGCCGACAGCTGCCGGCTTCTTCAGGCTGACGCTGATGGTGGCGCGTCACTTCCTTCTCCGTTTATCTGCGGGCAGCAGAGGACGTTGTCGCCCTCTACTGCCCGCTCTCCCCTCTCCGACGATGCAGTCCCATGCGTGGTCCAGCGTGTAAACTCCGTCCTCCCTGTTCATGGTCCCACATCCACGTCTCCTCATCTCGATTGCCGTAACAGATCATTGCTTAAGAGAAAACCATATAATGGACTGGGACAACACACGAATCATAACCACCGAACAACAAAAATACAAAAGATGGATCAAGGAAGCAATCGAGATAAGGAGACGTGGATGTGGGACCATGAACAGGGACGACGGAGTTTACACGCTGGACCACGCATGGGACTGCATCGTCGGAGAGGGGAGAGCGGGCAGTAGAGGGCGACAACGTCCTCTGCTGCCCGCAGATAAACGGAGAAGGAAGTGACGCGCCACCATCAGCGTCAGCCTGAAGAAGCCGGCAGCTGTCGGCGAAACCGTAGCTACAAACAGGTAAACAAAACTGTTTCTGTGTTTAAAAAAGAACGAAAGCATGGATTTAGAAAGACACAGCAAGAACACACCTAAGGGGCTGCTACAAGAAATGAAACCATACGGCTATGCGCTACTCCCAGTATTTCAACCGATGTTGCTCGCCTAATCGTTTCTACATGAGCCAGCCCAGGAATAAGGCAGGTACATCCCCCAATAAACAAACTTTGTCATGTGACGCTGGCCGCTCTGCCCTAGCAGTACTGCTCCATTGTCCTATGGACCTACAACTGAAGGAGGTCCACGAATGAGGCGGTCCGGGTCGGTTGTACAACCCGCCTTTACAAAAGAAACAAAGTAGCGTCCTGACCTGCTCCGGACCCCTCAGTGGAACCGAAGCTTTATTGACCCTTAGGTCAGTAAGTATTCAAGCAGGGTCACAAGTGATGCTGACAAATCCCAGATGGCATTTGAAAAGAATGTCTTAATATGTCTCACTGCAAACATGAAAACACAGCAATAAAATGTGAACAAATGACACTGTGAAGATAAATTGCAAACAAAAGCGTTGCACAGAATTTTGCCCAACTGTTGCATCTTTTGAGTAGCTTTTATTGTTGCAAAATGTACCAGGGAAATGTGTTCCAACCAAGAATTTTTGAGGCAGTTTTAGTGCTAACTACAATTAGCTTCAAGGTAAAACTGGTTACTGCATTTTAATCACATTTTTAGCAACTTGAACAAATGTTTAGCTCATTCTGGTACTAAAATGATAGGAAGCTGTGCACAGAACATATATACAGGTCCTTCTCAAAAATTATCATATTGTGATAAAGTTCATTATTGTCTGTAATGTACTGATAAACATTAGACTTTCACATATATTAGATTCATAACACACAACTGAAGTAGTTCAAACCTTTCATTGTTTCTAATATTGATGATTTTGGCATACAGCTCATGAAAGTGCTGTATCAAGGCACCTCAGTGGGAAGTCTGTGGGAAGGAAAAAGTGTGGCAGAAAACGCTGCACAACGAGAAAAGGTGACCGGACCCTGAGGAAGATGGTGGAGAAGGACCGATTCCAGACCTTGGGGGACCTGCGGAAGCAGTGGACTGAGTCTGGAGTAGAAACATCCAGAGCCACCGCGTACAGGCGTGTGCGGGAAATGGGCTACAGGTGCCGCATTCCCCAGGTCAAGCCACTTTTGAACCAGAAACAGCGGCAGAAGCGCCTGACCTGGGCTACAGAGAAGCAGCACTGGACTGTTTGTTGCTCAGTGGTCCAAAGTACTTTTTTCAGATGATAGCAAATTTTGCATGTCATTCAGAAATCAAGGTGCCAGAGTCTGGAGGAAGACTGGGCAGAGGGAAATGCCAAAATGCCCTAAGTCCAGTGTCAAGTACCCAGAGTCAGTGATGGTCTGGGGCGCCATGTCAGCTGCTGGTGTTGGTCCACTGTGTTTTATCAAGGGCAGGGTCAATGCAGCTAGCTGTCAGGAGATTTGAGCACTTCATGCTTCCATCTGCTGAAAAGCTTTATGGAGATGAAAATTTCATTTTTCAGCACGACCTGGCACCTGCTCACAGTGCCAAAACCACTGGTAAACGGTTTACTGACGATGGTATTACTGTGCTCAGTTGGCCTGCCAACTCTCCCGACCTGAACCCCATAGACAATCTGTGGGATATTGTGAAGAGAAAGCTGAGAGATGCAAGACCCAACACTCTGGATGAGCTTAAGGCCGCTATCGAAGCATCCTGGGCCTCCATAACACCTCAGCAGTGTCACAGGCTGATTGCCTCCATGCCACGACGCATTGAATCAGTCACTTCTGCTAAAGGATTCCCGACCAAGTATTGAGTGCATAACTGAACATAATTATTTGAAGGTTGACTTATTTTGAATTAAAAACACTTTTCTTTTATTGGTCGGATGAAATATGCCAATTTTTTGAGATAGGAATGTTGGGTTTTCATGAGCTGTATGCCAAAATCATCAATATTAGAAACAATAACAGGCTTGAACTACTTTGGTTGTGTGTAATGAATCTAATAGATATGAAAGTCTCATGTTTATCAGTACATTACAGAATATAATGAACTTTTATCACATAATGCAAATTTTTTTAAAAGGACCTGTATGTATAATTTATCTCACATATATGAAAACTGCTAAAAAATAAATCTGAGACCCTCAACTAAACAAGAAAACCACTTCAGGCTCCAAGGCTGCAGGTTGTTGGCTATTAAACAACCAACCTGTAGAAACAAGCTAAAATGGGAGTTTCACTTTTCAGCCGACATATTTGGCTAACTGACAGCTTGTAGCAGCGAGTGAGGGAGGTGAACCTTTGCGCTGGCTCATGCCTAAATCCTAAATTAGACCTTCTGCATTCATAACTTTTATCCATTCCTCAGCTGAGATCTAACAGAAACCTGCTGAAATAGTTAAAGCTTTGCTGTAACCAGGCATATATATATATAAACCCCTGTTGATGACATCAGCAGCTCATATATATGTCAAAAGCATGACAAGCAATTGATCACAAACTCCAGTGCAGCTTCCTCTTCTTATGTTTCTCACTGATGAACTGTTTTCCACCTCCTCCACCCTCGTTGCGTGACAGCCAGCCAAGCGCGAAGCAGCAAAGGCGCCGCCTGCCAGCGCCATCCTCCCTCTGCTGCCAGTGGTGCCCCATGTGGGTGAGAGTGATACAGACGCACTCGCTGACAGTCCTGGCGGACCTGGAGAAACGGCAGAGGAGGATGAAGAGGAGGAGGATGAGTTCGGATACAGCTGGAGTGAGTTCCGTTGGAAGGTTTTTCTGATTTAAAGATGTCCCTTGTATCTTTTTATCACATTTGAGAATATTGGAAGCTGATTTTCTACTGTTTTTGTGACTTATTCCATAAATGGGAGCAGTACATGGCAAATAATATTTACTTGCTGTTGCAGGATGTAGACACGACCACAAGAGGGAGTCCAAGCTGCATGTTTTGCCTTTCCCACCAATAAATCTATCATACTGTTTAATAGAAGTGCACCCATTGACATTCTTGAGTGGTTTAGGACCCTGTAACCCAAACAGGCTCTCAGTTGTCACCCCATTTTAATCCAGAATAGAAATTAGGAGCAGACAAAAAACGCAAAGGACAGGCTTTCAGTTCCCAAACACCTGGAATTGTGGAGGTGTGTGTGTGTGTGTGTGTGTGTGTGTGTGTGTGTGTGTGTGTGTGTGTGTGTGTGTGTGTGTGTGTGTGTGTGTGTGTGTGTGTGTGTGTGTGTGTGTGTGTGTGTTAGAGATAGGCAGAGCCCATCCTGCAGGAATAAGATTGATGAGGTTGGGCCTGGGGAGGTGAGTAGTGGAGATTAGTACGGGACTGATGGTTGAACAGTGGCAGGGAGCCCAGAACAGCACAAGCCCATTGAACTGAAGAGTGGCTATCTAACACGCCAGAGACAGGAAGGGGTGGAGAGGGAGGGAGGTAGAGCGAGGCTGCAGGGAGAACAAAAAAAGATGCAAGATTGAGTCAAAGAGATAACGCCAGAAGCTTGAAAGTGGCGTTGGAGACAAAACCACATTTTGAGTTGAGCTTCATTAGGAAGCATCGCTGTCCTCATCACAACTTCTGTGTCTTACAGAGAACATAGTCCAGCGCTATGGCAGCCTCCCAGGAGTGCTCCACATGATGGAGCTGGAGAAAGGCAAGATGGGCCTGGGCCTCAGCCTGGCAGGGAACAGGGACCGATCCCGCATGAGTGTGTTCGTGGTGGGCATAGATCCCAACGGGGCAGCTGGCAGGGATGCACGTATGGTTGTGGGGGATGAGCTGCTGGAGGTTAGCCCTTTAGCTATACAGTCGATATCTTGTGCAAAAGTCATCAAACATTTCTTCATGTTTTTTTCTAAGGAGTTTCATTTCATTTAATAAATAGTTTTCCAGGCTTTCATGAAGATTATCACAAATGTTTCTCTGAAAATAAGATGCCCGACTGAAAATGAGTAAAAATCTGCAAAAGTCTTAAAAAAATACCTCAGAAAGACCTTAGATTAAAAGTTTAGATCTTTTGAAGAGCATTTATGTTGAAAATGTATGAACTATTAATCGTGTATTTGTTGTGGGTAGCTCAACAAATACAAAGACTTCAGGTTGGAGAAAAATAGATTATTCTGACTAGATTGATATACTAAAAGGTAGTCACACAACATAGAATACCGATGTCTCTGATTTCAGAAATGCTGCAGCCAATCATGCAAGGGATTCTGTCACCACAAGATCTGAATCATTTAGTTATTCCAGCTTAAAAACTTCAAAATGCTACAGCTAGCTAGCTGCAAACCTTAGCTTTAATTTGAAATTTTCAGTCACATAAATGGTCCTCAGATATTATTTGCAAGAACTGCAGTGACATTTGTGGGATAAGACTGGTTTTAGGACAGTACACATCTGCTTTAGTTTTGAGTTAGTCATAACTAATCTCTGTTTCTCTAAACAGAGGCTGTTCAACAAGTCTGATTGTACTATAGACAGAAGCCATCAATAATTTGGCGCTGTGGTGCACCTTTGTTAAAATATAAATATTCTGCCTTAAACTGTCAGTATTGCACCCCCTTCAGGTAAAAACTCTGCACTGCATTTTTATTTAAATCTGCCATTGCTATTGGCTAAGAAGTATCAAATGACATCAGCTGGTACCATATGATGTCACAATGTCATTGTGAACCTGTATTTGTGTGTATTTGTTAGCAGCTCCGCCCTCTCGGTCTGCTTGGCAACAGCATTTGTTGCATTTTTCAAACAGGAAGTGGGAGTGGAGTAAGATTCTGGTAGGGAGCGACTTGCTCTTTAATAACAAGTAGCTCATAATTTTCCCACGGAAACCCACTGCAATATGTCCCAAATTAAATAGCCCAAATTACAGTTGAACAGCACCACTTTAAGGGATTACAAGAGGCTTTGTAACTTTTGCACAGCCCTTTTTCTCCACCACTCTCCTAACCACTCATCTCTGTCCTGTTAGATCAACGGACACGTTCTTTATGGCCACAGCCATCAGAATGCGTCGTCTATTATCAAGAGTTCCTCATCCAAAGTCAAAATCATCTTTATCAGGTAAAAAAAAAAAACGGTTGTATTTGGTGTAATTCTTCTAAATGTCCACCAGAGGAAGCTATTGTTATTCTACAGATTTGCTCAGTGTTGCACAACATTTTTAAAAATGTATAGCAACAATATAATTTTAGTTGTCTGCTAGTTAAACATAATAGTAATTATTATTGGTATGTTTTAACTAGTTGTTCACAGAATGATTAAAAAGCAGCTTTTTTGTGATCAAAGATGAGTTTTACTACCTATAATTGCTCTGCTGCCTGAAACAGAACGGACTCTCAGCCTCATCATCACCAGGGACATGTTTGACCTCTGACCCTAGTTTTAGTCTTATCCAGGATCCAACTACTTAACCCCCCTACTTAACTCACATCCCAGTCCTGACACCCCCCCCCCCCCTGCTGAAACAGACACAGAGCAGCCTGCGTATATTACCATTCCCTCTGTCCCGGAGCAGAGGAACAGTGGTTTACGTGAGTTATGACTCTGTGGAACAGGAACACGGAGGCACTGAACCAGATGGCTGTGGGACCTGTGAGAGAGCACGAGGGAGGCGCAGAGGAGCCCCACGCTGCTGAGGTGCGATCATAAAACACAAGAACTCCCAACACACTCCCATCGTGCAGCTGGTAGAAAGTGACGCTTGACTTCACTTTACTTCTGGTCTTCTTGTACAATAATTAGGCTTTTACTCTGCGTCATGCATCTGACTTCTGTGTTTATCCCCCTGTGTGGTCGAGGGAACTCCCTAAACACCCAGAAAACCTCAAACTGTAGTTTGGAAAACTCATAATGCCGAGGTGGACCAGTGTGGATTTTAATGAGACTGATGTGCTGATTTCTTTTTAAATTAACGCAGCTACTTCATATTCTTTTTTTTTTTTTACCTCCATCTTATAAAAATAGACTCCTAATGACCTACTGAAATGGTCTGCATCCTGTGGCTCTGACGCCACTCATGGTTCTTTGGCTCAGTTGAAATTGCTCCTTGTACTTATGAGCAAAAATGAGTCATTTTAACATTTAAGCTGATAAAAGACAATGATAATTTTAGCAGTTTTCCATTCCAATTGTTGCAAATATTCATGAAGTTTCTGCCACAGAATGAATAATAATACCATAGGTTTTAGTGCCAGATGCAACTAATAACTTGGGTTTTAACCAAAAGGTTTTAAAATACTAGTTTTACTGATGGGCTAATTGTTTGTGTTTTATTTTTGCTTGTTTTAAAAAATTCTACTTTAAAGGGGCATTATGGAAGTTTGACAGCCAAAACATGTATAGAAATAATACATTTCTTCTTCATACATTCTCCTGCAAGGCCCTGGTCCTGTAGAATGAGCCCTGGCATTTTTACTGTGATTGCCTGTTTTTCCGTAAAATCACAGAAAAAGAGAGCTGCTCGGGTCGAGCAGGCTGCTTCATGCGCGTTCACGCACAGGCATCGCCCGTAGCATTTGCTATCCGTCGCTTTAGCAGCAGAGAGTGAGGTAGTGCCAACACAGCGACAAGTGATGAACCTAGCTACATTTCTGAGGACCATTAGCTACTTTCTTCTAGATTTTTCCTGCAAATTAGCAACAAAATAGCCATTTTCGCTCCGGACCGTTCTTTGGATTGACGTTGTTTCAGCTGTCATCAAGGGTATAAACGTTACAGATACAAAGAATGTCACTGGCACTTTAGCTCACTTAGTGAGACGTCTGACTCTCATGTAGGAGACCTGGGTTAAATTCTGGGTGTGAATAAAGAGTTTCTGTTTTACATTAGTGATAATTTGTTTTACAGTAATAAGACACCCAGATTTTTATTTGAGACTTGCCGAACGGCGTTGAATTCACAGGTAAAAAAGATGTGGGTTCAACTTTCATTTTGGAACAATTTTTCAAGCAAGGGAAGGGAATGATCTGAGCATGCAGGAGGACTGACCCATCATAAACCTTTGTCGGCTGTGCTGAAGAGAAAGGTACAGAACCAAATTATTTAATTAATTAGCTGCACGTTCTCCTGTCCTCTGTCCTCCAGGCCACACACACACACACACACACTGCACGTTCGGCCGGCTGACGAGAAAGTGCAGCTGCAGAGACAGAGGGACATTATTTTTATTAATTTCCTGTGTTCTTCTGTCCTCCGGGCCACACACACACACACGGGACTGTCTCAGCTGTTATTTTCATTAAGGAGTGTACACGTACAGCATGCGCGCCTCGTGCACGAGCCTACTATTGAAGCTGCCATTAAGCTTTTGGCCTGAGGGGGCAATCGCGAGCATAAAAATTCAAAACTCCGAAAAGTCCCTTTAAATTAAAAAGCACAAGGTAGTTTTATAGATGCACCAATTCTGGTGTTGAGAGCCAGTACCGATTTCTGATGTTTGTACGGCTCTAAGCTGCCAGTACATAGTTTGGGCTGTCAAAGCTCAGTGGCCTAGTGGTAGAGTGTCCTCCCTGAGACTGGGAGATCAGGGTTCGATTCCTGGTCGGGTCTTACCAAAGACTTTGAAACAATGCGACCTAATGCCTCCCTGCTTGACACTCAGGATTAATGGGTTGGATTGGGGGTTAAACCACCAAATGGTTCCCGAGCGCGGCTGTTTCTGCAGCTCACCGCTCCCCCAGGGGATGGGTCAAATGCGGAGAACAAATGTCGCACACACATAAGTGTGTGTGACAACTATTGGGACTTTAACTTTAACAAAGGACTAGAATGAATAGATTTTCAATTAACTCAGAAATGGTTTGTTAGGATATAATAACTAAATAAATAATGAGTTTAAAAAAAATTTTTGTTCTAAATTTATTTGAACTTAAATAAGGTAAAAAAGATGAATTAAAACTTGGCAATAAAAACCGGCATTATAAAATATTTAATTGCAAGCAGTCAGCATCCCATATGTGGACATTGGTCCTCAGAGGTTAAGACAGGTGACAGTACCACACAGCTAGCTGTTCTTAAAACACAGAAAAATAAAAAATAATGAACTTCTGATAATGGAAGACTGATACTTTAAGCATTTTAATAATTTGTTATTTGCTTAGTTTATTTAATGGTTGTTCGTTAAGACACTAAGGTGCAGTTTGATGATATATTTATCTCAGGGTCATAGGGCTCATTTTCCTAGAGAACTACTGTGTTTATTCTTTTTTTTACTTTGAACTAAGAGATGGTAGAAATTTTGTAGTAAATGTCGTTGATTCCTGACTTAATTTTTAAATAAACATTAAGAACACTTAAGAAAATATATCAGGCTGACACATTGATCTGACTCTATTTAAATGTTCATCTGTTCTCTCACAGCCTCAGCTGGCTGCAGAATACGACGGTGATGCGTCCGAACATGTTCATCCTGTGGTAAAGGTTGAGGTGAGACACACCACCCTAACAAAGGTAACAGGAAGAACGTCTGGTGGCACGAATGAGGAAGGTGCACAAATAAATGCCACATAGTATGACAAAGAAAGTCGGAGTGCAGACAGGAGCAGTATATTTTCACAGTCTGGAGAGGGCAGAAGGAAAGAAAGTAGATGGAACAGTTTGAAAGAAGAGCGGGAAGTAAACCACACATTGAGTAAATGAAGAAACTGAAAGGTTCAGTTAGTTCATAGAAAAAGTCAAAGGAACACATGTTTATTAGCTATAAGGCTACTTATTGGCCCTAGAAGAAACTTTTTTTAATGGTGTCCTTTGGAGAAAGTAGAAACATAAGTTGTCTGAAGGAGATCCAAGTTCAGATTAGGGGTGTTTATTTGCAATACGGGGAGACGATAAGATACGTATCACGATACGGGGAGACAATACAATGTGTATGGCGGCACAGGGGAGATGATACAATATGTATCATACCACTGGGGAGACGATATGATGTGTATCACAGTACAGGGGAGACGTTACGGATGCAACGATACCACTTTTTTCCAAACCGATACTTGGATCTGAATACTCGCCGATACCGATTGCCGGTACCGATGCTTCTACCACTCAAAAAAATGCAACGATTTGGAATTCAGATTTTATTTTCTTCTCTGATTTCAACAGGAAAAGACTGTGAGGTAGATAAAAAGTAAAATATATGAATAGAAATCATCACAAAACTAAAATATTAGGTAAACAGAAATGACAAGTTACAGTGAAGCCATTTTCAAGCAACTGCATTGGTATCGGTTAACTTTTACAGATATTGGTACTGATACCAGTCTCGATGCATCCCTAATATATATACATAAATATATGTATATACATATATATATATATATATACAGAAGAAATGTAGTAAATTGTTGTTTAAATACTATATAACTTTGATACATTGCTTTTAAATGTCTATTCGGTGTCATAACAGTATATACAGCATTATCTTAGAGTATCAGTATTTTCTTACATCCATAGTTCAGATGGTGTACAATCCAACATACAGTATAGCTAATCGGGCTATGATAACAAAAATATGCATTAGACATAAGAATGATGCAACACAAAGCTGGATCCAATTATACCGCTCAGGAGGTAATGCTTGTCAGTCAACCAGATTGATTTGCCCGTTGCAACTCTGTTATGTCACTACTATTCAGACAAATCCTACAAACGGCTGTGAACCTTTACAACCTAACATCTCCCAACAGGAGGATGAAGGACTCCCTTTCAGTGAGGGGAACACAGAGCCAGAAGTTGAGATTGAGAGTATATATGAAATGATGGGAGACACGGGACAGGTACGGAGTCCTTCAGACATAACCAACCAAAACTCATGCTTACACTCACCAAAGCTTGTGTTTGTGCAGGGGGGCATCCTGCATCCAGGAGACTCCTGTTTATCTGTGAATGGAGAAACGGTAATGTCTCCTACAATAAACCTTCCCCTAGGCCTAGTGTCTTCTGAGCTGTTAAAGATCCAGTCTTTCTTTCCTTCTTAGGACAGGGAGAGCTCAGATGACGTCGCCGTCCGCCTTCCCAGCATGCTTAGCGCCACAACAAGTACCTTGAGTCAACTTGAGGCAGAAGCCGTCACTAGTGAGTTGATGCTTTTTCTTTACAGTCAGGACGTTAGAGGAGCATCTTTAACGACACCTTTACCAATGTGCTGCAGGTTTTAGCCGCTCGTCCACCCCGTCCTCTCTGACGTGCGACCCAGCGACCTGTCCCATCATCCCCGGCTGTGAGACCACCATCGAAATCTCTAAAGGCCACACTGGGCTGGGCTTGAGCATCGTGGGAGGTTACGACACCCTGCTGGTAGGTAACAATGAGGCTTCACTCTGAGTTCTGCTCTGTTTGGAACTCACAATGGTGTCTTAGAGCCACTAATAATGAGGGTTTTTTTTTCTTCTTCTTTTCCCTATTTTGAAATTAAAGTGAAAATGTTTCAGAATAAATACTTAAGAAAAACAAAGGTCAAATTAAAATCCTCATATTATTGTTATATCCTTATGAAAAACACCCCCAAAGCAGCGTTTGGCTTCATGCATGCGTTGTCCTGTTTCAGCTTTAGTTCATCTTCAATAGCTGCCATTGAAGTGGAGTGGGACATGTTGGCCTGGCGCTCCTTATGGCCTGTTCTCTGCTGGCGTGCGTGTTGCTGCTAATGCTGCTTTCCCTTTCTTCATGCTCCATGATGCTTTGCTGGGGACGGAGGGTTACATCACGAAACAAAAGGAATTCACACGGGCGGAGGCGAATTTTTTTCTGGAAATACTTTTAAAACAAAAATATATTAACATCTTTTAGATTTCTTCCACTTTAATTCCAACGTTTCGTCGTCTACAAAGAAAACAAACTTCATTGTGGCCTTTAGGCTGGCCTCAATAAGCTGTTGTAGTAACTTCATCAATATTGACTAAATATTCTAAATAATTGAAGTTGAATTGAAGATGATTTGCCAGTTTCCACCCACGATGCCCCTCACTCCTTTGGTGGCACGATAACTTTGGACTGAAACAGCCGCGGCTGCTGAGGAATGTAGGAAACCGTGTAGTCACAGCCGTCCTCCTCCTGCTGTCGTCCTCTCAGCTCGCCCATTCTGTCTGCTCAGTCAGGCCTGGGGCGGTGCGAGGGGGTATGGTTGGCTTTTTTTCTGACTATATCGAACCCTGGAATGTAACCTCTGAACCCCAAATGACACTCACCCTGAAAATCACAAAAGTTTCCCAACAAAGTTTATGTTAAAAGTTAAGTATGCTCTATGCTCCAACCAACTACTAATTGATGCTTATTTTGTTCCTCACTGCTTGGTTACTCCCCCCCCCCACCCCCACCCCCACCCCACCCTCAGGGAGCCATCATTATCCATGAAGTATATGAAGAAGGAGCAGCTTCCAAAGATGGCCGACTGTGGGCAGGAGACCAAATCTTGGAGGTACGACGAGCAGCACGTTTGGCCTAAATAAGAAGATGTCTGGGAGAGACATGCCCGAGGAGTTTAAACATGAACGCTTCGTGCAAATTCTAGGGATCAGAACATTTGAAACAACAAACCCAAAAGACGAAAGCTCGGTTATTACCAGCGACAAAGCGGTGGAGCTTGATCTGAACTCTTTTTATTTTTTAAGTGATTGAAAGTGTCCCGTGTGTTTTATGGGCTCTGACAAGTTAGGTGTCCCAGCTCAACTTAGATGTGCCCTCCTTCTGACCTCGTGCTTTGTCACAGAGAGGCGGTGCTCAGGATTGCAGTTATTGTAGCTCAGTCAGTAGATCTGAACGAAAGGCGCGCATACACACACACACACACACACACACACACACACACACACACACACACACACCATTACGACTTAATTGCCCTCCACTATTCATTTCTGTCTGAAGGCGGTGTGTTTAGAAAACAAGGTCAGAGAGGCAAAGTGAAAAGAGGAGCCGTTTCTCGCTGCACAGCGATGTGCGTCAGCTTCTCTGGGAAAATTTCCTCCCATGTCCACGCTGAAAGCTAATGCGCGCTATTTTCCCTATTAATGTGCTAATAAACAAAATTGATGGGCATCAGTCTGAAGAGTGCTGACTTCTGTGGTAAGACGTCCCTCTAGTTATTTTCCCTCGGATTTATAAATAAATAAACCCACTTTCCATATGTCTCAGCAGTTCTGGGGAATTTACAAGCTTCGGTGTTAGCATAAATTTGGCTATTAGTGCTTTTTATAACCGCTTGCTGCTTTTACTTTTTATCTGGAATGAAATAGTTTAGCTTCGCTGTGTTGCGGCATGCCCAAGAAAGGGAAATTACAGGCTGATTTTGGCCTTGAAGGAGTAATTTGTGTCTGACGTGTCTCTTAGGTGAACGGTATCGACCTTCGTGCAGCCAGCCACGACGAGGCCATCAACGTGCTGCGGCAGACCCCTCAGAGGGTTCGGCTGACCGTCTACAGGGACGAAACTCAGTACAAGGAGGAGGATCTGTGGGACTCCTTCACTGTGGAGCTGCATAAGAAGCCTGGTCAGGGTCTGGGCCTGAGCATAGTGGGGAGGAGGTGAGATATCATACACCATATTAATCACTAAGAGTCTACATGTCTGCAACTTTTTCCCCTTATAAAAAAAAATCTATATTGCTGCAATAAATGTCCTTACCAGCCAAAATAGGATCGGCATCAACTACATTATCTGGATCAGTGTCTTCTGAAAGAACAACGTCATTAAGCCTGTTTCCACTATCGGAACTTGTTGGTAATTTTACTGGCTGATGTGTGTGCATCTCCATTTCACCTGACCAGCCAGAAAAGTGCCTGCTAGGTCAACAAAGCGAATAATTAAATATACACATAAAACTATAAAATTTGTGATTTTTAATGGGGTTTTTTTTGTTTGTTTTTTTGCCTTTTTACTGCAGATCAAGGGATCACAGGTAACCATCTATTCAAAACCATCATATTTACATAGGGTGTTATGGAGATCATGCAAAAAACTAGCCATGGTCAAATTATAACTCCATTTGCATGAAACATCCTGCAACACAATAATGTTTGCCTTTAGAAAAGTACACACAGCCACTTTTCTTCTCAATGTCTCTGCTGCACACAGCTGTTTCTCTGCTCTAATCAGCTGAAGATCTTGCAACGTAGACATGTTTCATACAGAAGATCTGCCTTCATTAGTTTAGAAGAATCTTAAAAATGCCTTCAGGAGTAAAACAAGGAAGTGCATCAGTGGCTTCATCTTGTCTGATGGTATAAAACATGGATATTCAGGAGCAGCTTCATTTTTAAATTGGTGTGCATTTCTGCCACTTTGACAGCAGTTCTGCTGCGCATGTGCAAAAATGTAAACTGCTCAAAAGAATGAAAACTGCTGAGGTACCCTAAAAAATGCTGAAAATGAAAAGTGCAAGCTAGCAGTTAGTGATGAGGAGCTGTCACAGCCAAGTATCTCTGGCTGTGTAGTCATGTGAAGAATGCCACCTAACATGTCTGCTTGAAGTTTTACTTCATTGTGTTCTTTTTTGAATGATTTCCACTTTGGATCCCGGACAAGCCCCCAAGTTTTCATGACAAAGCCTGAAAAGGTAATAAATTGAAACCGTTTCTTCATCCCTCAATCAGGAACGACACTGGAGTGTTTGTGTCTGACGTTGTAAAAGGGGGTCTGGTGGACTCCGATGGTCGACTGATGCAGGGCGACCAGATTCTGTCTGTGAATGGAGAAGACGTCAAGTCAGCCACTCAGGAGGCCGTAGCTGCCCTGCTTAAGGTTGTTGAAGCTCACTTTGATGAGCGTAATCCGGGAAATCGTCTCTCAAATTTGTGTAGCAGCTTAAATAAACCTAATCCTTACATTGCAGTGCTGCGTGGGGCCGATAAAGATAGAAGTGGGGCGCTTTAAGGCCGGGCCTTTTCACTCTGAAAGGAGACTTTCCCAAAGCAGTCAGGTAATTTAGCTCAAATTCTGCACATGTGAAGCATTTTTTTATCTATTCTTAGAGAATAACAGATGTCAATTATTATGGTTTCAGGTTAGTGAAACAGGCAGCCCCAAAATGGTCCATCAGTCAGGTTCTGACTCTGGAAACCTTCCTAGAGATTCAGACCAACTCAGCAAAAGTCTGGACTGTGAGTAACATCAGATCAAAATGAAAAACACCAAAACTCTCATTGTGCTAATGTGTTTATTCCTAATCCTCACAGCAGTGGAGCACCAGGACCTGAGAACCGTTGAGCTCACTAAAGGCCCTGGCGATTCTCTGGGTATCAGCATAGCCGGTGGGTTGGGCAGCCCTCTGGGAGATATACCCATCTTCATCGCCATGATGAACCCCGCCGGCTTGGCTGCTCAGACACAGCTCAAGGTACGCCTCCAGCCTACGGCAAACACTAAAACAAGGCATTAACATGCTTCTCATTTTTGTTTTCGTAGATTGAATGCAAAAAAATCTCAGTTATGCAGCCCAGTTGTAAATTTTAAAGGCCTCCAAAGGTCATCAGCCTACAGCCTTGAGGCTGTGGCCTTCACAGACAATTGTAAAGTCTGTTTGGGCAGGAAGGCAATGGCCTTGACCAGTGTGGGTAATAAATCTCCCACTCTCACATTGAGACAGTGAAATCCACAAAAAGACTCATTGAAGTGAAAAAAGAGAGTATTTACGCTTCTTTACATTTTCAACCAGACAGTAAAATGAGATCATTCATCTTACGTTAACCGAGTCTGTTCTGTGCTAGGCAGAATATTTCATGTTGATGTGTCCGTAAAAGTTAGAAATAATCACTTTTGCCTTTCCGATGGCCCCGCCCTCTTTTGGAGGGCTTAGAATTAACTCTGGTTATTTGTGGTTCAAATTTAAATTTATATTTAAATCTTTTTGTTTTACTCCCCAGAGAGAGTTAGAGAGTAAAAAGAGAGATGTGTTGCCCTGATTTGACCCATTTCTCCACTTGAAACGTTTGTCTTAAAGCACAAGTATCTGAATTTGAGTGTCATTTATTGGTAAATTCATGTAAAGTCAATACTTTGTGTGCAGTTTAGAGTTTATTAGATTATTGTTACATAGACAACATTTTACATTTTCTGGTCCTGCCTGATAGCTGAAAACTCAAATACATTCCCAAATATTCCCAAAGGATTCAGCTACAGTGTGGATTTATTTGTCATTTCCTCTCTTCAGATAGGAGACAGAATTGTCAGCATTTGTGGAACCTCTGCTGAAGGCATGAGCCACTCACAGGCTGTCAGTCTGCTCAAGAACGCCACAGGCACCATACAGCTGCAGGTCTCCCAGAACACACACCCATCCTGTTGTTTTTCTGTCTCACTCACATACTTTCTGATAGATAAACCTGCAGACGGGGCGATAATCTGCTGCTGCCTTCTCTGTTTAATCTACCTCACTTTGAAGCTTAATAAAACTCGAATCCCTATAGAGCGCTACCAGCATGCCATCAGCCTTTATCTTGACAGTAAATGTAGTCCAGGACATAACCGCTGGCTTTGTTTATGTGTGTGAATGCACATGTAGGTGGTTGCCGGTGGCGACACCACTGTGACAGGTCCCTCCCAGAAGCACGAAGGTGGGTGTCTGACGCCCAGCAGCATCTTCCAGGATGACATCGGGTATGAGGCTGTAACGTTTATCTAAGCAAAGATACAAGCTGCTGATATTTTATAGATGGGAAAGGCTTTTTCGGTGTGTCGTTGTGGGGATCTCACATTATCACCTTGTCTCTTTTATTACAAATAAATTAAAAAAAATCACACCAAAACTTCAAATTGGTGAGAAATGACGAGTTTTTGTTAATCTACTACTGTTTTGTTCACCTTGTCTTGTCAAACCAGAGAATTTTGCTTTGCATTCATCAGACTGAAAGTGAAACTAACTCAGAGATTTGAACGATGTAGAAAATGCAACTTTTTACATCTTTTTTGCATATTTGTTCTCATTTTAAAACTTCTGGCTTTGTAACACTTCTGCTGGATAATATAGCTCCAGATTTCCCAGAATCCAATGCTCTGAGATTGCACCAATCTTTTTTTTTTTGGATTAGTTTCAGCGCTTCTTCAGTAATCGAGGAAATGAAATATTGAAAATGCTTAAATAATAATGTATTTTCAACGATTTTTGAAAGCGCCCTGCTAGACCGACCTGCAGAGCTACCGCTATGGTTTGTGGTTAGCTCTCAGGCCCTAAATACAACAAAGCTCATTTAGAAAAGAAATGAAAACTCAATACCTGCACAGCAACAAGAATTTGGAATTTTATTTTAATTGCTAAATTGAAATCTGAAAGATTCCAGAAGGTTTCTGTAACAACAGTGTCACTTGTGTTTCCTTCAGGCCTCCTCAGTACAAAACCATTACTCTTGAAAGAGGACCTGACGGTCTTGGGTTCAGTATAGTCGGCGGGCACGGCAGCCCTCACGGAGACCTGCCAATTTACGTCAAAACCGTTTTCGGAAAGGTAAGCAGACCGATCCGTTAGCGACACATAGGTTCTGTAAACACAGGCCCTAACTGGATTTGTTTGCCATCAGGGGGCGGCAGCGGAGGACGGCCGTCTGAAACGCGGAGACCAGATTATGGCCGTGAACGGTCAGACTCTGGAAGGAGTCACCCACGAAGAAGCTGTCGGCATCCTGAAAAGGACCAAAGGAACTGTCACGCTCACTGTGCTTTCATAAACAGACTGTAGATGAAGATGTTTAATACCCTCGCACCAAAATATCATGCAAAGACTGAGACTGTACCTTTATAAGACCCAAGTAGATGATCACAGAGAAGCTTGTAGGTGTGAACACTGAGAAGAAACCAGGCAGCAGTAGATTTTAAGTCATGTGAATCATTCCACAACACTGGATTAAAGAGCGTTGATGCTGCTCTGAAGGAAATCATGTGAAGTCCCTGAAGAGTGTGTGGTGTGTGTGTGTGTGTGTGTGTGTGTGTGTGTGTGTGTGTGTGTGTGTGTGTGTGTGTGTGTGTGTGTGTGTGTGTGTGTGTGTGTGTTGTAACAGGCCTCTCGTACTGCTAGAGGTCATATATAAAGTATTATCTCACAGTATTTTTAAGTATTAAATTCACAGAAAAATATCAGACATTTATGTTGTTTGATTTTGTGTTTCTGACTTTTCATGTGAAAACACACCTGTCTGCAGGTGTGGAAGCTACTACTCAAATTCTGAGGTGTGGCTGAAGAATGAAACTTCCATTTTCTGCTTCATTACCTGAAGTGTATTTCTAGTCCTACTGAGTTCTTCCACAATGAATTAAGAATAAAAAGTGACCTTAGGAATCAGTCATTTTTTGTCTTAAAGCCTGTTTTCCTCCCTAATTTAGTCCAGTTCCACACATGTAGCTGTTACAAATGCCGTAATATGCTATTTACACAGTTATGCCAGAAAATAGGTCAAAAGAAATAAAATTCTAACTCTTTATCATTCATAACAGATCTTTGATTTCATGCTTGTAAATTATAATTTACACTTTTTGCATCATAAAGCTCTAATTTTCTAATAGTTCATGAATGTAAAACAATCAACATACTTTTAAAAACCAACGTCACTGAGAAACCATTTTTTCACTTGTTACTTTTAAAAATGGTCACTGAGTTTTTCATGCAGGCTGAACATGAAAATTGTCTCCTACACCTATCCTGCATTAACTTCTGATAGAAAATGGATGGCGAAACTCTAGAATTAGGAAATCCTGACAGATCTACATCACACTGCCACTTCATGGACTCGCCCGTCTTGATTTATGACGGGGAAGGCTGTTGTTGGTTAACTCCGGTTTGACACTGGAAGCATCAGCGGTGCGAAACGGCAGCAGAATGGTTTACTCGTGAACTTCAAAGTGGCTCTTTTCACCCTGGGAGAGACTTGGCAGTGGCACTGTGCTCTTAGCTGGACTCGCGAGATCACACAATCCCTCGAGACTTCAGGTTTGTTTATGCAATCATTCATTAAACCAAAAAGAAGGAACTCAAGTTTGATTTTGCTGTTTGATGTCATTTGATGTTGTTCTTCTCCACTGCAGGATTAAAGCCATGAAAAGCACACTGCTGCACTTCTGGAACGATGCTGTGAGTAAATAAGCATTTGAGTCACACGTAAGTTTCATATGTATGAATTTGCATTGCTGCAATACTTTTATTTTGAAAATTACAGCGATTTTACACTGAAACAGTGTGTGAATTCCTGTCTAGCCCTATATTAACTGCAGACATTGACGTGTCCCTGAAGCAGCTCGTAGCAAAAATCGAACTCAATCCTATCTTAAGCCACGCTGCGTGCCGCTTCTGGGACACATCTGAAAATTGCCGCGCCGTGGCTGGTTTGAAACAGTGAATAGTCTATAATGGATTCAATTTGAAGCAGTGACGTTCTGCTGCCATTCCACGCCGCTGATGCTTTCAGTGTGAAACCGGGGTTAGTGTCCAGGAAACAGCAAAGATTGTCTCTGCTAGTAGAAGCTAACTGTTAGCATTAGCAACTCCATCACTTGTCAGGGCTCCTTCCAGCGTGTGTTATATCTGGAGATAAAACATCAATGTTGCTCTTAGCCAATCAGAGGTGAGATGTCCAAATATCAGCTCAACTCAGCCTTTATTTATAAAGCACCTTACAGTCATGAGCATGCCACCAAGGTGCTGTACAACAAAAGAGTAAAACAATCAAACATATATTGCCACAGACATAATTAAAACCACAAATGAGAATTACAAAATATAAAACATTAACAAATGCTAACCCACAGAATTAAAAGCCAGATCATAAAAGTAGGTTTTCAGCCTCATTTTAAAAACTGCTACTGATGGAGAGTCCCTAATAGTTAGGGGCAGTGCGTTCCACAGTTTTGGACCTGCAACAGAGAACGCCCTGTCCCCTCTTAACTTTAACCTAGCCGTAGGAGCCACAAGCAGCAGCTGGTTCTCAGAGCTGAGTGACCGGGCCGGGCTGCAGCAACTCTGCCAAATAGGCTGTAGCCACACCATTCAGCGCCTTAAACACCATTAAAAGAACTTTTAAACGAATTCTAAAATCAACAGGTAACCAGTGGAGAGCAGCCAAAATTGGTGTCACGTGTTCATGCTTTCTTTTGCAGTCCAAGAACCTAGCTGCAGCATTCTGGACAAGCTGCAGCCGGTTTACAGTACCCTTACTTACACCAAATAGAACGGGATTGCAATAGTCGAGTCAAGAGGTAATAAAAGCATGAATAACAGTCTCAAAGTCACGTCTAGATAAAAATGGATTTACTTTAGCCAAACGTCTTAAATGATAAAATGAAGAGGATACTACAGTACCCACATGAGCATCCATGCAGAATGCACTGTCCATCTTCACGCCAAGGTTGACTGCTGAAACGCCCAGATAGGAGTTCAGTTCATCGCCGTCTACGTTGGAAAAATCAAAATGTCCACTCGCTCCAAATAACAGTGCCTCCATTTTTTTTTTTCCAATGAGACACTGGAAGTTTTCTGCCAACCATGTCTTAATTTCGCTGTACAGAGAATTCTGCTGTTGTGTCCTTGGGCAAGACACTTAACCCCCCTTGCCTGCTGGTGGTGGTTAGAGGGACCGGTGGCGCCTGTGCTCGGCAGCCTCGCCTCTGTCAGTTCGCCCCAGGGCAGCTGTGGCTACATCGTAGCTCATCACCATCAGTGTGTGAATGAGTGTGTGAATGGATGAATGATACACTGTAGTGTAAAGCGCTTTGAAGTCCTTACTCTGAGAGGCGCTATACAAGCGCGGGTCATTATCATTTAATTTGTGCCAAACAATCCCAAAAAAATTTTATAGTGTGGTCATCGGTACCATCTAGAGGTATGTACAATTGGCAGTCGTCGGCAAAGAGATGGAATCCAATTCCAAACGTTCGTAGAATGTGACCCAATGGGAGAATATAAATGGAAAACAGCAAGGGTTCCAGTATAGAACCCTGCGGTATCCCCCATGGCAGATGTGAGAAGCCCGATGAGAAACCACCCATGCTCACACAAAACCATCCTGTCACGTAAATAATATCTAAAACAATTTAGGGCTTGCCCAGAAATTCCCACATAATGTTCAAGGCGATGGAGCAACACTTCGTGGTCTACGGTATCGAAAGCTGCTGTGAGATCCAATAGGACCAGCAGCACTGGACTGCCACTGTCTGTTGGTAGAAGAATATCATTAAAGACCTTGATTAGGGCAGTTTCGGTACTATGCAACATTTTAAAACCTGATTGGAGGGTCTCTAAAATATCAAAGTCCTTAAAGAAGTTCATTAGTTGAGTATAGACACATTTTTTCAAGCATCATACCCAAAAAAGGGAGTTTGGAGATTGGGCTATAATTCACTAGTAATGAGGCATCCATCCAAGGTTTTTTTTAAAAGTGGATGAATAACTGTTTTTTTTTTAATCTGTCGGTACAAAACCAGAAGCCAAGCTGTTGATGATTATGTGCAAAATCAATGGTGCAACTGTTTGAAAAAACTTCCATAAACAAACGTGGGGGTAAAATATCTTCTGGTGACCCACTAGGTTTAGCCTCTTTTAACAAACTGGTGAACTCCGCAAGTGATACTGGATGAAAAGAGACCAGTCGTTCCTCAAAAGACGTAGAGGAGCTTAACACAGTAGATTTAGGCAGGGCGTCTCGCGGCATCGCTACCTTGTTGATAAAAAATTGAAGAAAGCTGTTACACACAGAGTCAAAGGCCTGTACAGGTGAATAATCTTCCACATTCAGCACAGAGTTTATAGTTGCATACAAAACCCATGGTTTGTTGACATTAGCTTGCACACGATTGGAATAATAGGCAGTCTTTGCGGATTTAATAATTTCCTGATAAGATTTCCAACTTTCTCTAAGGGCCATTAAAGATACATGCAGCTTATCCTTTTTCCACTTTCTTTCACACCTCCTGCATTCCCTTCTTGCAGCCCTGGTACATTCAGTAGACCACACAGTAGCACCATGAGTTGCCTTTTTTGGGCGAAGAGATGCAGTGGTGTCCATAATGTCCTTACAGTTCTGATGAAAATAACAGAGCAGATCATCCAAAAATGACCAATCACCCACATAAGGCTCAGCCCTACTAAATAACAAGGAAAACTGTACTGATGTAGCACTGTTCACAGGACGAGAAAGTAGGAACTGTATAGTCAGCAACATTACCACACACAATAGTGTCAAATAGTACAGGCTTGCGATCTGAAAAGACAGCATCCTGAATACACACGTTGGACACCGTGCGTCCAAGTGACAACACAAGGTCCAGAGTGTGATACCAGGAATAAAGACTCCAGATCCTGCCATCTTAGGCTATTTTCTCCTCTGGCTGAATTCTACATCCTCAAACAGGAGCATCTGAGCCCCCACCCCCACTACAAATGTATTAAAAATATGAGTAAAGGTGACCTTTAAAATCTTTGGGATCCCTTTTTATCCCTTAAGCTCACCAAAGAATTGTGTGAATATGTTTGATAACTTATTTGCCATTTCCCAGACAGTACACCGAGATGGGCCCCATTTGGAATGTGGGCAAGTCGTATGGGTAGCACCAGGGTTTGTCCACAGTTTCCATGGTGGCCCCAAAGGGGTTTTCACAGAAAGAATTTTGCCCACATAGATTTTAACAGGCCCTATATGGGTTTTCAGAAGGTTTGAGTCTTTGTGGGCAAACCCCTGTGGGGCCACCATGGAAACCACGCACAGACGGTGGGACGCACACGGCTTGCCCACACCTATTTCATACGGGGCCCACCTATGTTTGCTGGCTGGGTTGCTGTAAATTTTAAGTAAATTCAACAGGAATTTTTACTGGTCTGTAAGGTCATATTTAATATGTATAAAATTCAATATTATATTCACAACCAGTCTGCAGGTTTTACAATACAAATATCACTAAGACTACTTAGGTGTCAATATATTGATATAAACATTAAAAAAAACATTTACCTCCAACGTGGACCAAGGTTTGAATTTGCCCTCCCCGGTAAATTGGGCTGACAGCCTTGATTTACCTGTTTGACCTAAATAATATATATGTGGAAAAATATGTAACATGTGCAGCAAGTTTTTAGGTCTAAAATCTAAAATAATGTTCAAACCTGACAAATATTTTAATAGTTTAAAATGAGCTACCCCTATACTAGTCTAAAAGTCGCATTTCAGTATAATCAATGTTTTATTTTGAAATGTGCTGCCAGTCTAGACTAATCGAACATCTGTTGGATCCATACTGGTGACCCAAAAAGTTATTTACATGAATGATTTCAGTCCACTTTGTGTTTCCTGTTATCCTCAAT